AATCCGAGATCGCCTCGTCGTAGTCAGCTGTATGCTCAAAGGCCTTGAGAGCATATAGTTTCCTCTTCTTCTCAGAGACATCGCCTGCTTCAAGTTCCTGCAGAAATTCCGGGTAATCTTTGGGATCGCTGAGGATGGTGACACGGGAGTGGTTCTTCGCTGCAGCGCGCAGCAGAGTAACGCCACCAATATCGATCTCCTCGACGGCTTCTTCGATGGTGACATTAACCTGAGCCACCGTTTGTTTGAAAGGATACAGGTTGCAGACGATGTAGTCAACCTTGGAGATCTTCTGGGCTGCCAGATCTTGTTCATCGGATTCGATGTTCCGCGCAAGAATTCCACCGTGCACGGCTGGGTGCAAGGTTTTGACGCGGCCACCCAACATTTCAGGCGCATGTGTGATCGCCGAGACGTCTCTATGTTCGCAATGATTAGTTTCATGCTTTCAACATACGTGTATATATATAGAAATTGATACACTCACTCAACAGGGAACCCAGCCTCCCTAATCAACTTCGCCGTTCCGCCAGACGCAAGCAACCGTACATTGTGCTTGACGAGGCCCTTGGCTAAGTCTAGCAGGCCAGTTTTATCGTAGACAGACAGAATCGCTGCAGTTTTCACCCGTAGGTTAGTTACACACAACGCATATAGAAGTATATACAAAGCAGTTGAAGGTGGCAATGTGTCTAGCTAGATACGCACCTGACTTCTGCGCCATTTTCTCAAAAAAGTACCTGAGAGCAGCAGGTCTGTCGAACTCTTTAGCGTTGAGGGATTTCTTCAGCGCCTGTGCTAGGGTCATGTCATCAGCCATCATCACTTCACTCTTTTAATTCCCCCCTCTTGCTTTGAAGATATTATAAGATTGGGAATTTGAATAAAAAATTGTCCTGATTGACGGAAGGGAAGATAGGGAAAGATAAGGAAAGATAGGGTTGGAAAAGCATCAGAAACAACAGCAACGACAAACAGCTACAACATCCTCCCAGCCGTCGCTGAATAAATGAATGCGATGGGGTATGTCTCTGACAGCCAAACCCTCATCCAACCCTCGAATCGAGGAGACGATCACAAAACAATGGTTTGCAGCGGTGTAGGAAAAAGGGACAGCGGTGTATCATTGGAACCGGGTACAGTTTTTTAACTCACCAGGAAACGGAATCGATGAACTGAATCTCTTAGGTACCTTCTATCAACAGTGTAGGGTAACTTCAATGTCCAATTGCAATATCAGTGGCGTCTTCGAAAATAGAAATCCATTCAGCAAATTTCCCTTTTTTTTGCAGCGGTTGTTTCTGCTTCCTCCAGAGCTTGTCCCTTTTTCCTATCCCCACTTGGTTTTATTTTCTTCCAAGGGCCGTAATCTTACGTAATTATCTCCCCGATCCCTTCACATCCAAACAAAACAAACAGGACAAACAAAGCAAAACCATCATGTCACATGACCTCTCACTCTTTGTGTACAAATGAAAATTTACCCGCTTCTTTTTACTTTTTCTTTATATATTTTTTTTCTCTTTTCTTTCACATGAACAACGCAATAAAAAAAAATAACCAACATTCTACATAAAAGCGTTCCTACAAAGGCTTCTCTGAATGCCCATGAGGTATGGAAATCGTCTATTAGAATGGAGAATGATTCCCTTTTCTTTTATATTTTTTTTTAAAAGGAAAAAAAGGATCGCGTCGGTCTTGGGTGCAGTGTTGCTCGGCCCTCTTTTTCGTTTTTCGAAAGAGGTTTGTGGGTGGGATTGCAATGACCGGCGGGACATGACTATTGCCGACTGTTCGACTGGGTATTGTTGGTTGGGAATGAAGAATGAGGGGCGGGAAGGCGGATTGGAAATGGCGCTGGCTGTCCTTGGGTTATGACATATATCGGGCTGTGTTGAGGATAAATTATTTATGGTGTGGTAGACTGGCCGGGTCAAGGTCAACCAACGGTTCCCGATACAAATCAATGGGCATGGAGATATCGTTGAATAGAACTTCCCGAGGGCAAATGGGGTTAAATATTACGTTCATCCTCCAATCGAGCTTCTAATATATAAAAATGTCCCGCCTCCATTCCCGAAAAAGCATATTCCCTGCTATTAAAAAATAGTTGAATACGTGCAATAACCCATTCTCCCGTCCATATTACTCAAGTAACAAGCCCCCAATATGAACGTCCTTCTCATATTCTTCTATCTTCCATCTCTCCATCCGAAGCGAACCTGATACTGTAGATAATATGGTATGCAAACATATAAACATTACTTCCACGTCTGGCATTACCCCTCAACCCCACCAACCAACCGCCAACCTCCTCCCAATATTCCCAAAACAAACACAGCTGCAAAACAGAACACTGGCAATCCACGTACCCACGGCAATACTCTCTTGTGACGCAACTTGCATCCCACCAGCACCAACCGGAACACCTGGCGCTGGCACAACATCGGAATTAATCCCCAACAGTGCCACCATGCCTACTAATCCCACCGCGGTGGAGAGCATGAAGCCCGGCTTTGAGCGGTCGATGAGGTACCAGAGAAACGGGTTGACGAGGGCGAGAGTTAGGGAGACTTGGAGGGTTGATTGCCAGGGGAGTTTGCGCTGTACTTGTTAGCTAGAGCAGCGGTTGTAGAGGGTCGTAGAAGGGGGAAGATGTGAATCGGGTAGGTATATAGGAATGGAATGGAACGGAACGAAACGAAGAACTTACAATGGCAAAGGCAATCCCCACAAAGGCACCGGTACTCCTCACAACAGAATTCCAATCAGCCACCTTCAGCTGCTTATCATCATCCCCCTGTGCATTCAGGTTGCCAATGTCACCTTCCTTCAAAATCCCACCCCCACACTCACCCCCGACAAACTCCTCCCAAACCCCATCAAACCACGGCAACAACCCGCCCAACGCAACCCCCGCCAATCCCCAGAACACCATATAAACCCACGACCCATGATCGGTGATATTCTCCATCCGCATAGGCGTCAGACGATGGTTATCATGCAAATGCATAATGAGCGTCCCATACGCGACGCCGAAGGCGAAGAGGAGAACAGCGCGGAGCAGGAGGGGCAGGTAGAGTGATCGAAAGCCATGGCGTCGGGGGACATGCACCGCAGGTCGTTGGTGGGCATGAGACGAGGAAGTGCGGGAATGAGTGCCAGTGGTGCCGTTAGTTCCATTCGCGAGCTTCGAGGAGGTTGCGGTGGCGGGTGAGGCGGCCGGGCTGCGTGGGGAGCTCGGGCTGCGTGGGGAGCTTGGCGTCTGCGCACCTGTGCCCCATGGCGTGGCGGAGGTGGCTGAGAGGGATATGTCGTCGCGGAGGGGGCTGTCGGAGAACGCCGTGGGGGAGTAGATTCCCAGGAGAGTCGAGGAGGTGAGGTTTAGGATTGAGTGGGTGCGGCTGGGGGCGGTGAGCAAGTCTTTGGAGGAGGTTTCAGGGTTGTCGAGGGTGAGGTTGTTTGGGTATGAAGGCTGGATGCATTCTTCTGTAATCGGGGTAGCGGGTTCAGAGGACTCGGAGGTGGGTAGTTCGAAAGGTTTCCGGGTACGGGAGCGTAGGGAGCGAGGTTCGGGGTCCATTTCTTTTGTTTTAGGGGAGGTTAGGATATTGGGTTCAGTTGGGTTGGGTTGATTTTGGGTTGTTTTTGAGTTCTTAGGGTGTAGAGATTCACATATAGAGCACATGGGACACGAGGATTTAAGCTTAAAAAAACAAAAAAATTTTTTGGGGGGGGGGGGGGGGGTTTGAGATAAGATAACAGACAGAGCCTGTAGAACAATAGGCGAGCAGCCAACCAGCTAGAAGAAGCACGGGGTATTTATCGCGTGGGATAAGCAATTCAGAAGCAGGACTGGCAGCCGTTGAGAGGGTCAGCCAGAGGAGATGGGCTGTTCTGCAGCCGCTAGATACCTCCACCACAAGAAGGCTGTAGCAAGGTGTGTGGATGCTATGGTTTGTTGTTGTTGTTGTTAGTTGTTGGTATCGATTGAACGAACCGTACGTCCTTTTTTTATTTCTGTCAGTTAACGCCGCTTTGGCTTGTCACATGCCAAACGGGCCAAACTCCGGCTTAGTCATCGTCCTGACCGCAGTGACTCCGTGGGTGGAGCTGCGATGCAGACAGACGCTGCGATATCTTTTCATGTGGTTGGCTGTGATGTCGATTTCCAGGCAATGCCCCCCCCCCCCCAACAACAACAACTTTTATGGCAGTTTATGGGAGGTTTAGAAACAGTTGCATTGTATGGCATGGCACGGATGCAGTAACTGTGAGAGGATAGTCACAGTGGAGAGATCTTCTACTCCCGTATCAGGAGTGTGGGCGGACTGGACCCGTGTTTTCGAGGATTTTTGATTCCCAACAGATTCGGACACACGTAAAACCCGCTATTTGGGTTAAGGAATCTTGGATTGAATTGGACCTGGGAACTGGAATTTGAATTCGAAGTCTTAAGTCAAAACTCCGATTGTTAATTGCAGAGTAATCGCAACATTGAATTATCCCAGAGTTTTATTGGCTATCATCATTGTTAACTTGTATTTTGCTTGCTTTTGGTTGGAGAAGAGAAAACTAGGAGATATTATAAGGACAGGTAAGATGGGGGGGAAATGAACAAAAATTGAAGGGAGGGGGGGGGGGTGAAATACAACAAGAGAAGCGCTGAGAACCATGTCAACCGAAATTTAAATTAATCAATCAATATCAACGTAGATATAACAAAACATCAAGACAAGGTGGAAGAACAGAGGAATACACAACTAGGACCCCCTTATCCTTTCAACTTCTTTTAAAAAACAAAAGGAAAGGTTGGAGAGGACAGACAGCTAAAAACCTCAAAAGAGAAAAAAGAAAAACGGAAAGAAAAACGGAAGCATAGTCCCTAACTTGTTGGAAAACACAAAGACACAAAATTACAACAGGAGAATATATATATATATATATATATAAAGAGAGTTAGTTACCATTGACCAGATCAATCAGCCGTAATCTGATCCTCAATCCCCCTCCCTTTCCCCCTCCCCCTCCATCTCCGAACTCTCCCCCTCCACATCATCACCAGATCCCTCTCCCTCCCCCTCCTCCTCCTCTTCTCCTTCCTCCTCGCCCTCATCCTCCTCATCAACCTCCTCCACCAAATCCATCTCATCTCCTTGTCCCAGAAAGCTAGACCCCTCAACATCACTATCACGATACGAATCCATCATGACAGCGCTGGAATAGCGTGGCTTGGGGGGCGGGGACTCCTCGCCCGCTACGACCGATGACGGCGGCGGGAGCGGTGGCGCTGGCGCATCGCGGTGTAATATCTTTTGATGGTGTTGGTGGAGAGGATGATGCGAGCGCGAGCGAGAGGCCGAAGGTGAGGATTGGCTGACGGCGTCAGAGTCCGGTTCCATATCTAGGTCCATTGCCGTGTGGTGTGCGTGTTCATCGGGTTCGCGTTCAGCGTCAGCTTCCGGGATAGAAGCACGAGCCCGCTGACAATTACGATCATTGTCACTGTCGTCATCATCTTGATCACGCCGTTTCCGTTTCCGCTGGCGGCGAAGTGCCTGCACCGGCGCCTGTGCCTGCGTCTGCGTTTCCTCCCCGCTCACCTCGCCCAACAATTCCTTATCAATGTCATCTAGCGCACCGTCTCCCTCGCCGCTAACATGACTGGCATCATCAGTGCCAGTCGGCACAGCTAACTGCTCAGAAGCAGAGGCAGCGACAGCAACGTCACCATCACTACCCTTCTCACCCTTCACCGCTTCTGTCGCAGTTGCATCAGCCTCACCATCGCCAGCAGCTGCACTATTACCAGCACCACCGGTGGATGTAGCACCCGCACGCCCCTTCCCAGTCGACGCCCGCGGCTTCCTCGCTCCCCCAGACCCACTCTGCCGATTCCGAGCACCAGTTCCCGGCCGTGGGCGCGGTTTCTTCTCCGGCTCCCCCGTCACTGCACCCGCAACTTCGTCCACAGGTTCTGCAGCCTTTGGCTTCCGCTTTGAGCGGGCCTTGGGTTTGGTAGAGGGACGGGAGGGTGTAACGACGACATCGCCACCAGCCCGATGAGGTTCATGCGTCCCATTGACAAACATGATGGTATCATTCCCCTCCTCCCCGTCCCCACCAGCAGCAGCAGCAGCCTCAGCAGCAACCCTGTCCTCCTCCGCAAGCCGCTCCCTCTCCCTCTCCCTCTCCCTTTCCCTTTCCCTTTCCTCCTTCCTCCTCCGATCCTCAACCACACACTCCCAATCCCACCTCCTCAACCTCCTCCCCACCCTCTTCACAACAGCCATATAGAACCCCGCCGCCTCCCCATAATCCTCCTCATCCGCCGGATGCGGACATATCCCCCCCTTTCCCCACGAGTTCTCCTCGTCCTCGGTATCATAGTCCTCCGGCAAACTCGCCAGTAATCTCCCCACACGCACGAAGGGGATCTCATTCTCCCGTCGTTGGCGGAGTACCTTGAGCGCCTCCGTCCGCCGCTGGTCGAGAAGGTAATCCACGCGTTGTTTCCGGTTCTGCTCGATGGCGAGTTGGTGTTGGGTCAGTGGGCGGGGACGGCGGCTACTGCCACCTCCTCCGCCGGTAGCGTGTGCGCTTTGCTGTGGCTGTGGCTGTAGAAGGTGCGCAGCGCGAGAGCTCGAGCTGGCACTGGCGCCTGTGCTAAATTGGTTGAAGACTGGATGGGCGGAGCCTGGGGGCGCGGGGGAGGCGGTATCTGGTGTCTGATCCATGCGTGTCTTTAGCACGAGTCGGCGTGGTTGGGATGTTCGGACTGATGAGCGGTTTGTGGAGGATTCACGTTTTGTACGGCGACCGGGGCGCCAGCGTGCAGAGAGGTCTATGTCGTCGTCTGGGTTGTAATCTGCAGCGGAGCGGCCGATCATGCTTTGGCGTTCTCCGGTTCCTAGCTCAGAGGTTAAGTCGTCGCTTGCGTAATCGACTGCGGCGACTGGAGCGTTGAGAATTAGTATAATGTCAGGGATGACAAGAAGGTTAGAATATCGAAGCCCATAGCTCACCTTTCTTGGGTCTCTTGCCAGACCTGAAACTAGTCTCCTCTTCTTCCAGAATCCCTATGAAACAGAAAAAAAAGTCAGCTTAGTCCTAAACGGCACAAAACATTAACTTCAATAGAAATTGGGAAAGAGAAACCCACTCTTTCTCTCTCGCTGCTTCTCTTCCCCATACTGGATCTCCTCTGCAGTGTCCACATTCTCTGCATCCGCCTCAGTCTCCGTCAGCGGCTCAAACGCCGGTACCTTAATGGGCAACCCATCCGTTCCTTCACCCACCAATCCCGGCCCGAACGGATTATTCAACGCGTCCTGCGCCGAAAAGTCGCTCTCGAGATAATACCACATCAGCCAGAGGAAGGCCCTGGCACGACTTTTGCTGCTCAAGCTGGAGCGCATGACCAGGTCGAAGAAGTCACGGGGAGGGAAGAAGTGGAGTTCGGAGATGCGGGGGGCATATTGAGATAGAACGAAGATGAGGTTTACGGGGTTCGTGCGGGGAATGGGGGACTGTTTTATTTTTTCGATGGTGTTGGGTTGATCTGTATCTTCAGAGGCACCTTTAAGAATAGATTTCAGGCGAGGGGCGTCTTGGAGTTGCTTGTAGGCGTTTGGGTCCTGATGGGCTTGGAGGGAGGGGATGGAGTGGTAAGTCCGTAGCTGGGCACGCATTTCTGGAAAGACTTTATGGTAACATTCAACAGTGAGTAATGTGAAATGCAATCGTCGTTATTCTTATATGGAATGGGATCATCCTCACAATTAAGCGTGGTATTCATCCTCCCAAAATTAACCAGCAAACACACCATGGCCATACTAATTGCAGCTGCCTTGTCGTTCTGCAACTTATCCTTCAAAATCTTGCTGGTCTTGCTGCTCTTCGCCATTGCATCGATGTAGATATCTGCAAAATCCAACCCCTTCGCGCCATCTGACAACCGCGTAAACACGGGCGTCTTATCCTCAAAGACCAGCTTCAGAAACTCGTACTGGATATCCTTCCGCCACAGCGGGATGCCATCTTCCTTCTTCAGATGGCGAATCTTGTTGCCTGAGTACACGGAGCCGATGGTACCATTTGCCTGTCGCCGTGTCCCTACCGTCGCACTGACAGTTGACGAGTGGAAGCTGGTACTGTTATTACCATTATTATCGCCAGCTGATGGATCGGGGTCATCGAACAAGCGGCGGGACTGTGATTGTGACTGTGACTGTGACTGCAATTGCGATTGCGATTGCGACCGCGAGACACCCTCTTGGGATCGTTTAACATCTTCTTTATCATCACCTTCTTTATCACCGTCTTTCCCTCCTTCGTTTCCTCCTGTTTCGCCATCACCATCGCCATTCCCTCCCTTATCTGGTGGCGGGGGAGATTTGGGCGGCCAGTCCTCCCAGGACCCGGACTCGGTCCAGAAACCCTGGACGGGATGGTCGGGGTCGTCAAGGTAGCTGCGCTGGCGGCCTCCCTTTGTGCCTGGCTCTGGTTCCAGCAGACGTTTCACACTTTGTCGAGGGAGCGGGTAGCGGTTTGCGGGTAAGGGAAAGTCCTTGCGGGAGCCCGCAAAGTAACCGCCATCAGGGGCGTCGAGGTGGTCCTCATTTTCGGGCTCGAAGGCGCCGGAGGGCCCGTGAGGGGCTGAGGAGGGGGTAGCAGTCATGGCTTTGTCGGGGTCATTGAGCTTTGAAGAGGATTGGTCTTGCGTTTCTTGCGTTTCTTGCGTTTCTTGCGTTTGTTGGTGGGTGGTGGTGGTGGTGGTGTTGGAGGCGGTAGAAGGGTCAGGTCGAGGGGAGATATTGCGGGAGACGGAGATTACGGTACTCGCCATTTGCTTGGGGAGCAAATAGATCTAGATGTGGAGTCGTTGGGGCATTGTAAGAGATAAATGGGATGAGATGATGAAGGTGGTAGAGTGTAAAGTTCCAAGATTCCAAAGTCGAACGGTTTGAAGTTGAAATTAATTCGATCTTTTTACGAAGGGGGAAGAGCATTTGGCAGGTCGGGAGTTATTTAATAAGGCGACAACCACAAACTCGGCGCCGGCCTTGGAAATCCAACCCTACTTGCACACAACTATGGAACTGGTAGACTTCGTAGAAATATGCAACACTTTTCAACTTTTCACTTTTATTTAATCTTGTTAGTAAAGAACAGAGTCTTCGAAATATTCACAATTCAAATTCAAATTATCCTGCCACCCGTGAGTGAGAGGATAATTATACGAAAGATGTTGCCATTTTTCTTTGATTTTTCCCGAGTTTATCTCAGCTCGGGGCCATTTCCCAACAGTAGTTAATCCAGTTGTTGAAATACCACATCTTTTGAGACTCACTCCTAGATACAAAATATCTAACTACAAATCACACTCAAAATAAAATAAAAAATTATTCACTATATGTAGAAAGGGACATATTTTTTTTCAACATAACGCATAGTATGAGATGCATATGAAAAGGAGGCAAAGAGGATTTTCTTGAGAAAATGTGCCATGATTTTTGATTTGATCCTTTATTTTTAGCAACAAAGGCAGGGAAACAAAGTGGAGAAATCACCCAAAATACTTACCAAGAAACTCCCCCATTAAATGAAATTCAAAAAGGAGGAATGTTTACGCAAAGAAAAGAGAGATCTGCTCTTTTCTTTGTTTTAGTCATAACTACAGCTTTAGTTTATCCAGAAACACTGCATGAAGAAATTGATATAGTTTACAGTGTTTTTCTCCCTTTTCACACGCCTTATCTTAACTTTGTTTTCCCAAATCAAAAACAAATTGGATTGAATTGAATCGGATTGAACATAAATATTGATATGGAGAATTTCATTTTTCCCCTGTTTCTTCAGAGCTGACATGACATGACATGGCATTTTCACACGACCTGAAAAACTAAAAAGAAAAAAAAAAAATTATCAAAACACAGCAGCTTCTTTTCTTTAACACATGCGAGCTAGGAACATGGAGGGTTAAGATTGATTCAAGCTAATAAGATGTAATGGGGCAAAGTGGACTATTATAAAACAACTTGGTGTGGGTAAGGGGGAAATGCTGTATTTTCTTTCCGCGCCGCAAAAGTTCTCTTTTTTTCCCTTCCTCGTCTAATAATAGTCTCCATTTTATCCCTCATCAGAAAGGGGAGGGGGACTCAACGACGAGAGAAAGGAAAGAAAAAAACGCCTTATAAAAGAAAAAGGAGGTGGGGGTATCTTGATAGATAGATAGAAAAAGCGGGGGATCTCTTTTCGCAGAAAGGAAATATAAGCTGAGTTAATGACGATGGAAGAAAGAAGAGAGAATAAGTTTCAACGCTGTCTATGATGAATGTTTTTTCTTTCATGATGCAAAAAGACGAGAAAAAGAACACGAGAATAACAAAGTATTTCCATGACCGATCCGACCGATAATAGGAAAGATGAAAAAGGGCGGAGGATATTTTTTCCCCGTTTTTCCTTTTTTCCTCTCCTTCTTTCTCTTCAAGAGCAGAAAAGCGCCGCCACCAAGTTTAAAACCGCAATTGGGTTATTTCCCCCATTTTTTGTAACATGCAAACGTTAGGCAAAAAGCAAACGCAGTAAAGGAAAATAAGCAATTGCATCAGAGGAGAAGACAGCATCAAATGGCGTATCGGAATACAAAAGAAACGACGGAAAGAACATCGAGCACGAGGCAAGAAACTGCAAGTAGTTCAACGCAAACGAGATGAAAAACAAACACTGAAAAGAAAAGAAAAAAAATTAAGGGAGGAAATTCGTCGCAAGTCATGATGAAAAATCAAAATCCCAGTGCCCGAGTTTTAAGAGTAACATCAAATCAAACATATTAGTAAAAGGAAAAATATGAAAACACTCGGGTAATGGTTGTTGGGAAGAAAGGAAATTTAGGTAACCGTCTTGAGTCGAATCGAATCGAGTCAGGTTAAACCAAACCAACCCAAAGCTCCCCTTACTTTGTTTTTTTTTTCCATGGCCGACGTCAAAGAACCAGTCGGAGAACCAGTCCTCAATATTCAATCCCGTCACAATAGGACACAAACGGAATGCGCAGCAAAACCAATAATCTCCCTTCTTTACCACCACGAACTTGGTCCAGTAGGCCCGCTTGGGTTGCCATACCCTCCACTGCCATATCCACCACCGTAGCCACCACCATAACCGCCAGAACCGCCACCATAACCGGCGCCACCATCACCGTACCCGCCATACTGAGATCGACCACCACCCATCCCGCCGCCGCTACCGCCATAGCCACCACCACCACCACCACCACGACGAACATCACGCGTAGAAGAGCCACGGCCTCGTCCACCACCACGTCCACCGCCTCGTCCACTGCTGGAGCCATAATAGCTTCCCTGCCGTCCAAGCTTTTCCAAGAAATCTGGAACTTCCTGGTTAGCATCCTTAAGCAGATCAACCATGCTGCGAGCGATTTTGAAATTCTTGATACGGCTGAAGAACGCCGTGGACAATCCAGTGTTGCCAGCACGACCCGTCCGGCCGATACGGTGGACATAGTCGTCTATTTCGTTGGGGAGGTCGTAGTTTATAACGTGGGTTACGTTGGGGATGTCAAGACCACGGGCTGCGACAGCTGTTGCGACAAGGATGGGACAGCGGCCTGTGCGGAAGAGTTCGAGAGCTCGTTCACGCTCGCGCTGTGTCCGGTCGCCGTGGATGGCAGTTGCGGGCAAGCGGTGATCGAGGAGGAAATCAGATAACATGTCCGCTTGGCGTTTGGTCTCGACGAAGACAAGGGTGAGGCCGGTTGAGTCGCTGCAGAGGATGTCGAGAAGGGCGGAGTCCTTGTCCTTATCCGAGTCGCATTCTATGACGCGTTGGGTGATGTTTTCGGATGTGGATCCCACGCGACCCACAGAGAGGAAGATGTGGTCCTTCAGGAACTCTTCTGCTAGTTTTTGGATGTCTGGAGGGAAGGTGGCGGAGAACATGAGGGTTTGACGGAGGTGCTTATCAGGCATGTCGGAACCCTGGACAATGCGGCGGATTTGAGGTTCGAAACCCATGTCTAACATACGGTCAGCCTCATCAAGGACTAGGTATTGAATATGGGAGAGCGAGATGCGACCGCGTTCCATCATGTCGACAAGCCGGCCAGGTGTGGCAACGAGGACATTGCAGCCCTGGTCAAGCTGACGGAGTTGGTTGCCCATCTCAGCGCCTCCGTAGACGACACGAGGGTGAAGGGCTGTGCGGTAGCAGAATTTGCGGGCCTCATCGTAGATTTGAGAGACGAGCTCACGGGTGGGTCCCAGGATCAAAGCGGTAGGATATGCCTTGCTCTGACGGCCAAGTCCTCGGGGGGCGTCTCCATCCGGACCCCGTTTCTCGAGACTCTTGGAAAGGATTGGGAACAGGAAACCGCCGGTCTTTCCAGAGCCTGTCTGAGCGCATGCCATCAGGTCACGACCACCCATGACGATGGGAATAGAGTACTTCTGGACCGGGGTGGGAACTGTGTAGCGGGAAAGTATGATATTGGAAAGCAGGTGCTCATGCAGAGGGGGGTTGGTGAAGGCGGTGATGCACTCCGGGACGTCATGACCACTAGCTTCGACAGGGATATTCTCGTAGTTGGCAAAGTTGATACCAGTATGTTGCTTAGTGGGGTCATCGGCTTCTCCGAAGAGTTCGAGCTCTAGGCGTTTGTTCTCTGGGCCCTGAACGTGGCTTCCGCGTTCATCCCAGTATCCATGTCCACCGGCACCGCGTGGACCTCTTGAGTACCCCGAAGATCCTCTATACGAGTTGGCGCCACCGCCAGGTTTTCCGTACTCATTTGGGTTGAAATGGCGGGGAGCACCATTAGCCCAGGTAGCACTGCCGTTCATAGCTGGAGCTGGTCCGGGTGGACGATCGCGGGGAGTGAAGTTTGGAGCATTAGCCCAGTTGGGACCAGCATTATGATGGGGTCTATAATAAGTACCGATTTAACAGGTCAGTTATACATTGTGTAATACGTTTGTTAACTTTTCAACCTGATATAACGCGTGTAGGAAAAATAAATAAAACAAGGCATCTCGCGTGTAGATCAAGCTGAAAAAGAGATCAAAATACATACCCAGCGTTGTTTGGAGCCCAAGCACTCGCGTTCAAGCCCTGGCTACCTTGAGGGCCGTTTCCGTCGACGCCCACGGGAGGAGCGGCACCGCGACCACGGAGATGGGGAGGGATATAAGCAGATCGACCGGTCGGGTTCGGGACAGCAGAATGCTGAGAATCGTCAATCTTGAGAGAACCCATGTTCAAGCCGTTTGCCATCTTGGATTTTCGCTGATGTTGCTCGTGTTGGCGGTGTTTTTGGAATTTGAAGTTCTGAGAGGGGAATCCAGAAAGAGTCAGTGGCGACTTCGTCCGGGATGTCTGGGATAACAACACTTACCAGGAAGGTAAATTAGTCGCGGTTTGTAAGCACGGAGAAAACTGTTCACTAGCTAGTTTTAATGATATAAATCACGAAAAAAACACGCTGGATCTCGAAGTGACAAAGGGGATTCCAGATAAAAAGGAGGGTCGAGATTAAAGCGTGCGGCTGTTTTTCTTTCTTCAAGCGTCCAAAGGAGAGAATGTCGAAGAGGCAGGCCGTGGGATTAAATGTTGCAGAGAGGAGGTATTTTAATCGTCGAAGTCTCTCACCCACACGGGAGATCGGAAGAAAAATAAGATATTAAGATCTGAAGAGAAGAAAAGTCGAATTACTAAAGGGTAGTAAAAGGGGAAAATCTCTCAGATCTAAGTCTATGGGTGGTAAGATTCAAGTAGAGGTTGATGTGGTGATAGTCGTTGTTATTTGTAGGATACAGAAACACAAAGAAACGGGAAAAGAGGAAGCGAGAAGAAAGGGGAGGAGAATGCGAATTATATGAGGATGAGATGAGAGGATAGTTGGACGAAAGAGAGGATGTTTGTTGAAGAGTTTTTCAGAACTTGACGAGAGGAAAAAAATAGAAGAAGAGAAGAAAAATAAGTTGAAGTTTGGCGGATGCTGGGAACTTTTTTTTTTTTTTTTTTTTTTTTTTTTTTTTTTTTTCTTTTCTTTTTCCCTTTTTACTTTTTTTGTGTTGGCTCAAGGCAAAAGGATCTGAGGAATAAGCCGCGCTAGGCCCGTTACGGCAACCCCATTTTCGCCTCCCAGCAAAAGCGCCCGGAAAAGACAACTCAGGTCACTCGCCACGCATTTTATGGGGTGCAGGTACATGTGGGTACATGTTGTGCCGCAGCCATCATAACCAAAAGCATAAAAAAGGGGTAAAACCCGGGAAACCCTATTCTTCTTGGACTGCATCCTTTTTTGTCTATTTCATATCTTTCCTATCGTTCGCCAATCTGCAGCGTTACCTCCAGGGTATTTGAGGGCTGGTAGTCAATTATATCAGGTTTTATTTCTTACAGCTGGAGGTTAATGGTTTCCTTTTGACTTCTTGTGCGGAACCATATTTAATAAATCAATAATGGGGGCATGCTACCCACCGCCCACTTCCACGGTCTCTTCCAGTAACTACATAGTCATATCTAATCCATATCTTCGTGTCATCTCGGGTCGGGAGAACAGTTGAAAGTGGGTTTAAAAAGAAAGTTGCAACAATGGTTTTGAAATCCAGCCGGAAAAAAAAACCTTCAGCATGGTTTAAGTATTCATAACCTTCTCGTTAAAACTACCTACACCAGTCATTCCTCGCACTATCCCACACACATCTCAGGCCCTTGCTCTTAACCAACTTTAACTAATCCTAACCCTTAACCTTGTGTTGAAGGGCGGTTGAGGTTGAATATAGATGTATGAGTAATAGAGTTGATCGTGTTTTTTAATGTTAGTGGGCCACCATGTTCAGTGTTGTTAAGACCACATTCAACTGTAACCTCACAGGTCCCCTCCCCCCCCCCATATTCACCTGGCTGACTGCTAGTGAGCAGAATCGTTTTAGTTGGCGGTCTGCTGCTCAAATCACCACTACTTACTACCTGGGAGGAAGCCCCACATGCTCACCGTCATGGGAAGTTTGCACGGTACAACCCTTTTTTCTCACTCGCCACACACTCTCGCCGTCTCACTATCTACCTCCCTTCCTCAGATACCTAAAGATAAGGTAGCCGTTCCCGGCGCGCTACGGGGGAGTCCTGGTTTGACTTTTGGCTCCGGAAGAGTTTCATTAATGTTTTGACCCCATGCTCTACCTCTCCCAATGGCAGAGCGTGTTTTCTCAGTTCCGCCGGTAAACGGAATGAATGGGTTCAGAGAGAATCTCTGACATCCTCATTGCCTCTGACTCTCTCCTATATGGACCTATGGCTATTCTCCAGCTAAAGGAGACGTAAAGTTACTGTTTCTCTGTGGTTCATCAAGCCGAATGTTTCCAGTTCAGGAACATCCAAACAATACTTGGAAAGACTGGAGTTAGATGATGCAATGGAGGTATATATACTAGCGGTGGGGGTGGATGTCATCTTTAAGGCCTTGCAGATCCCACCCACCTTCATCAAAATGATATTCATCGCACGAAAAGGGTGACTGGTCAATTAGAATGGGTTCATAATTACGAGGTGTATGCTAGCTAGGCTCTAACCACGGTGCACAGCTCTAAGGTAATGTTAGTTATTCTGGAACTTCAGCTGTAAGCGATAGAGAGAAAACATGGGATGGAATGTATCCCCTTGCAATAACCAAACGAAATATAGAAATATATTTTGAAGGTTAATTCTGCAAGCAAGCCGCGTTCTTCGGTTTGCTTTTACAACATGGAGTTAAACTTCTTGCTCCCTACTGTACAAACACTGAATCGACTGCGGCTCCACTGAAGCGAGGCGAGATGGGTGTAGACTTGCAAATCGTGACCGTCCGCAACTTGAACCATCTTAACAAATAGTTGATGGTTAGATGGCAGGCGATATCCTGCGTATTGTATGGAGCTATAAAGAGACTTTAAAATCGTTCCTGATGTGATATATTATACTTCTCTCCTCTTGACATCTCTCTCAGATTCATTCAATGAACTGATATTCCAATCAAACAGTCATGGTAACAAACTGATCACTCCGTGCTAATCATGCCAGAATCCATAAAACCATTGGCTCAAGACATTCAAAAATCCAAAGAGAGCCTGAATCCACTCCTGACAAGAAAGGGGGGAAATATATGTGACCGAGTGGCGACCCATTTAAGGCCTCACCCCCTATTCCACAGCATTAAACTCCGCAACAACCTCATTAACAACCTTCTGCAACCCAATCCCTTCAATCCCCAATAACTCATTCTCCAAAATCCCCCTCGCCTCAAAATCATTCTCAGACTGGACATCCAAAAGGTTCCCCACAATCAGCACACCCACCAGGCTAAAATCCCCCCTTGCGACATTTTCAAGCCCTTTCTTCGTCAGCTCATCGAAGTCGACATTCTTCCGCGTCCATGTTGAACCAGTCGCCTTTTCAAGGGCAGCGAGTAACGTTGAGGGAGTCACGGCAGCATCGGCGATGGGGAGGACTTTGTTGGCTGTCTTGTCGGCAATAGAGGGGGAGAGGGATTGGACGACGGCTTTGGCGATGAGGGATAAGCGGGTGCCTGTGAAGGTTGCATCTTTGTATTTCTCGTCCCAGAGAGTGGCGGTTTTGTTAGCGAGGTCGTAGCCGAGGAAACCGGATTTGATGCCTCTAAGCGGTGGTGATGTCAGTTACAATGAATTTTTCGTTTTCCACTGGCAATTTATCATGCCCTCCTATTTTCGTTGTTTGTTGTTGTTTTCAGGGTATTTGCGGAGGGGGGAGTGGGTTTGAAAAGATGGTAAAAGGGGAGAGACAGGAATCTGCCTTCAAGGCCGCCTCTACCATCACGATTACAGCCATGTACGGTACAGAACACTACTTACCCGTCCAAAAAAGGCCCTGTGAAGAGACTAGTCCATTCAATCTGGCCCTCTTTCTCCTTTAGATATTCTTGAATCTGATGTTTCGCAGCAAAGAACGGCACGCGTGCATGCGAGTGCTTATTTCTTGTATCGCTACCATAATCGCTCGCAACGAATCTCCTGACACACGCCTCGATTGCAGCGTCGATTACCTTGATCTGCAGAGGGATAGTCCCACTTGCGGCGGCTGATACCACTGCGTCTTGTCCCTTAAGTGCCTTGACGAGGGACTCATGTGAGTAGTCGCTTCTGAGGTGAGTCACGCCGGCTGGTGGAGTGTAGCTGGACTCCTCTCGTGTGAGAGCTGAGACGGAATACCCATATGGGGACTCGAGGAGGGCAGCAACTACAGCCTTCCTATGTAGAGGGGGAGAGTGTTAGGTAGAGTGATAAGAAGCTGGCTTGCATCATTGAGAGATGGCTCCGACGTACCCTACGAGCCCGCTTGCCTATTTTCCACTTTGTTAGTCTATGGATATGTTGTAAATGAAAAGTGTACGTACTGGCACCACAATAACATTCTTGATAGTGCTGGACATTTTGGACGATTGAAATATCTGAGTGTGGAGGGACATGGTCTGCGCAAGAGGATTGGGATTTGCAAATTCCAAAGGATGTGAAATTCAATCAGTTGATATCACTTTTGACAAAAGAGATCAATTGTTGTTTGTTATATCCAATATATAACTTGTATTTTGATTGTTTCCGGGTATCGAAAATGGTCCTTCATCAGGAGAGTGCGGAGTATTTGTACCCTAGCTCATCCCCTTGTCCTCATCTTATATGCAATCCATGATAAGTGGAATCACGCCTCGTATGGCAGCTCCGACTTATTATGACCCACACCAACTGTCTTCTGGAGATCTAACGGGGGCAGTTCGCTTCCCAGCAAAGAGGGTGCATTCCGCGCAAAATCACGTCATTCAAGCCTCCAGCTGTCCATTAAGGCAGTATATGCAGTGCCATTGACAATGGAGGAATTGAACCGAATTCGTGCAACAAGCTTGCTTATGAATTTGACGTATCGGATTCGTCATCCAGCGTGTAGAATTCCCCCCAGGCCCCCTGAAAAGAAAAGAAAAGATTTGTCGACTTCTTCTCTAATTCTTCTCTAATTACCAAGAAAGGAGGCTTAACCTAACCCCGGACGACGCCGAAGCAGGGAACCGGTCGGGGAGATTTGGTCATCCTTGTAAATCTATCTCCCGTGTCCCGATTGATATTTGGTTTGATCATCCAACAGTTGGTTTTGAGTCATATAGATACGGACTTAGCGGTGCCTATACTCGGTTACCGAGCATGTAACCAAGTATAGGTTAGCCTTGGGGCCCGATCTTGCCAATCTTGGCTCACGTGGAGTTCGTTGATGCATACTTTGCGAGGAAACGGCGTTAGTCAGCCTCGAAAGTTAACTAGTTATAGTTAACTAACTAGTTAGCTATTTTGATTGATAATCGCATTTTCAACTGGAAGACTTCTCGCAGGACCCTGCGCCTACTGGTAATACCCCATGCTGGCTCTTGCGGATTTTCTGAAGAGAGTTGATATATCACCAGCATGATATGGTAATACCACGTCGAAAATGTGATATCTGGAAGGAACACATCTTCCATCGCTCGGATTCTCCGAAGAAAACTTTGATGGAGATACCCAAATGAAGCATTTTAAATTTCTAACAGCCTTTAATGCTCAGGGTAATTGGTATCAGAGGGTTTCAATTTTATATTCACAGATTGTTGTTTGCTGCTCTCTTCGGTCATGATAGCAGGCACAAACGGGGAGGGCGCAGCGTTGAAATTGGTGGATAAAAAGCAGAACTTGTTAAGGGTGCTCGCTCGATCACGCAACAATTTGGTCACCACTGTTGTGCTCATAGCATTGGGATGCAGTATTCGGTACATCCGCGACGTGATCGTCAAATCAGAGAACCTAAGGAGCCGGATCGGATGCTGCGTTGAGTTTCGAGGTAAGTTATTTGTAGCTTGCCATGGATCAAGCTGCTATAGTCGGCTTCCTTCATTGACTTGCCGACTTTAGCCTTACTCCTATCTCAATACCCACAACTTCCCTGCCATTGAGGCTGGATCTGGCGTCAATTCGGAAGACACTGGGCATCTTAGGACGTCACGAGAACATCGTGTGAGTAGAGCTCACATGAGGTGGTTTTGCTATGGTAGAGAGTATTGCTGAAACTTTTTGACGCCTCGGAACTTTACATGCTGGATGGTCAAATCAACTGACTGGTCCTTGATTTATGCGCTCTGAGAACTGGACGTGCGACTTGCGTTGCATATTTTTGTTCTTCGAGGTGCGTAGGTTCCTTCCTGCTCTTAAGATGTTGATCCAGAATTCCTGACGGTGTAGTTTTATGGACGATAGACTGAGGTTGAACTCCGCAACGACCACCGTGATCTCTAAAATATGTTGTTATTGCAAATTGAGGTTTCTCGAAGTCAGGAATTTAAGGGACAAATGGGGGCGTCTCGAGAAATTCGGTTGCCCTGAAACCCGGGATGATTGTCCACGATATCCAGAGAAAGAAAGAAGAGCAACACTCGACTAGCATTTGCATCAAGCCGCAGCGCATTGACGATTGCGTGGGTATACGATGCCTTGCTTCGGAAGATACACGTCAACATGACCGCTATATGACGTTTTCATACCTTCACAAAGAGGACAATATGTTACCTCCCTAGTGTCTACCATTTTGACGTCGGATAGTCAAGCGATCTTTGTTGGAAGCTAGGCGCAAAATATGTCATTTTCAACTGCTAGGCTAATGTTTACCGAGTGTGGTCACCTCCTGAAGTGGGCGCAGCTTCAATCTGTCTCAAAAGTACGTTGTGTTCCATGTATTCTCCTTGATATGTTGTAATTTAAACACCAGTAAATTCTTTTAGAAAAGAACTATCAACACAAGCTATATTGGTGATCATCAGTCCCATGGCAGCGGAAATATATCCTTGAACACAGCTGTTGATCCTTGGTTGGTATTCCTATAAGAAGTAGTTAGTTGGACCAAGTGTCGTGGAAGTCCGGCAAAGAGGTGATGAACACGTGACCATTAAGCGCGCGGAAACCTCGGTCCTTGAAGCTAGTTACTACCTCGGCGCCTCGCGTCTGCGCGTCTGTTCATCCACATAACCTCCTTTCTTTATCCCTTTCTTTGGTTCTGTTCTTCTACACTCCAGTCAAAATTGCAAAACACTATTTCTTATCCCGGAATCATTTATCCTGCGCTCCACGGTTGCTCAATGGGTCTATCCCTCACTATGACCATCTACGTGCCCCTTTTCCCGTGCTTCAAAAAATCGACAGCTCCATTTTCATGCTCACTCAAATCTCTCAGGGGCAAACCTGAATATCTCTTGGTGTTCATCTCGGATTAGGATACTCAGAATGGCTTTCAACTTTCTTTTTGCTCCCCATGGAGCAACAGATTGATGCTTTCAATGATTTGTCCCACAAAGTCCTTCGGAACTTTTCCCTGTCCATTCCAAGAACATACGTACCTTAACTTGACAAATTCCAAACTGAACACCATAGGCTCTCTGGATTTGGTGTTAACAACTGAAATTTAGAAATTGTCATCGCCAACGCATCTAGAAGCTTAGACAAAGGAGACGAAGAAGCTCTACCCCTAACTCTGGGCTTGCCAAAATTATTTCTGCCAACCCTAGGCCGCCCATTTCATATTGAATCACTGACTTATCACGTTTGGGAGCGTATCTTTGAACTAGCTGGAAAGCGTGTGAAGCTTGATTTTGATCTGATACATGAGCAGGAAACTTGGATGCAGTGTTTCCGCAAAGGCAAAGGTGGTGCGTTGCTGGCCCTGTTGCTTGCCTAAACACCAATCTAAATGGTTTTTATGAATGCAACGTCGGATCCAATCGGCTCATACATAGCCTGGATTATCGTTAGATATGCTGTACAGAGTTACGACGGGATCATCAACCAAGCTCTTTCGTCTCTCAAGTCCGAAGGAATCGCTTGTCCAAGCGGAGATTAACGGAGACGAGAATGAGTGCCAAGAATTAATTGGTGAAAATGAGATGATTATTTCGACAAGCTACTCCAACGACGTCAACGGACCCTTCACCAAAATCTTCAAATTTTTCTTCTGGTTCCTTACACTTCTCCCCAATTTTCAAAGAAGTGAAAATAAGGTCCTATCACATGCGGCATTTCGGATCCACGGGTGGATGCAATTTTTAGACTGGCGAAGGACTTTTTAGGCCTTGGCAGCTTCAGCTTAGACAGCCGCATCCTCAACAAACGGTCAATCCTCAATCTTTTCAGCTAATCCAAGCGAATGTACAACCCCAAAGTTGAACAGCTATTCCTCTAGCTTCATGAAGAAACCTTACTCAACAGCGGCTTCACGAAGAATGAGGTACGGCATTCCGCATTCTCAGCTGACCACCTCACACGCTACATTAGATCGTTGACCCTTGGGCTTATATGCAGAAACGGAAATTATCCGCGGGAGAGACGCAGGTGAAAGAAGGAGGGCCGTTTTGTTAGGGGTATCTTTTTGAACATCTCTGTTAATGAATATTGCCGGTGTTTCCACGGAGTCTCGGTTAAGAAGAGTTGGTAGATATGGAAGGTCTGCAGTCGGGAGTTCGCACTTGTCAGTGAGGAGTTTCGACATGCCTGCCGTTAGATATGTAGTTGTTATATTTGATGGACTATATGTTTTTTCCTTTATGTTACGTTGTTATGAGGTGGGATTGAACGGATGCTTTAATGGGTTGAGGTTGAGGAGATGATAAAGCGTAAATTTCAGAGGTTCATCAGGACTGGATATTGTTCCGTTGAGAAGTATCTGCTCTTAACCATAACAGGTGGAAACGGCACAAATGGTTATCAACATTTTCTTCATAAAAGAGTGTTGCATGGGTCATCCTAGTGGTCATTCTTTGAGGAAGAAATAACAAAGTCACCATCCGAAATACAGGACTGGAAGAAATATACCAGCGGGGGATGAGATAAAAAATAGAAAGCGAAAAGAAACGGGGACCCGAGACCACATATAAGAGCCCACACAATACCAACAAAACATGCAACAAATTCCTCCCCAATGAAGAAGAGGATAAGAATTCATAACCACTAATTCCCGAAATCGCTCATTAACCAAGATCAAGGATAAAGTCATTATAAGCATGACAGTCTCATACGCAACCCATTAACAAATGTTCCAACCAGACATCCTCCCAATCTTTTTTATTCTACCACCTCCAATCCTTGACACCACTCTCACCTCCCCTCGCAATCCAGATCTCACGACTAATCTCATTCCACACAATCAGTCCGTTCACATCGCACACAGAAGCCATCCACATAATCCTCTCCACAACCTCCTTAAGCTGATTCCAACTCTGAATCCCAAACACCTGCACTACATTCCCCGCTTGTTCCACAAACCACTCCTCAGACGACGTGTTCCTTGCCGCAATGGCCCCCAGCAGCACCACCCAGAGCAGCACCTCCTCCGCCCCGCTCCAACAACTCTCATGAAGATTGGGGTTGTTGAGGTTAACCCTTTTAATCTCGGCGGCTAGCAGTGCTCCTTTCATTAACCGGCAGAGACGCCGGAAGGGTCTGTTGGCTGCTGGTAAGGGGTAGACTGCTATCAAACTGAATATCATCGCTGCTATGCGGGTGGGTTCGTAGATTTTGTAGTTTTCTGATTGTTGTATGCTGTTGTCGTAGCTGCAATCGTGTGAGGCGTTCATTGGGTCGGGGCTGTAAGGGTATTTGGTGAATTCGTTGATGGAATTTAAACTTAGCAGCTGATATTGTATCCAGTTGCGCCTGTCGGCGATTGCGGCAAGTTCAAGACCAGGGAGGAGGCCCTGGGTGTATAGCTTTATGACAGCGGTGTAGTTCTGCATGTGACGTAGGACTCTGGTGAGGTGTTTGGGGAGGTTGGCGGTTGCGAATATGTCACTGGGGTTGGGGTCTGTGTTGGGGTCGCGGGCGGGTATTGGTTGGAGGTTGACGAAGAGATTTACCGCATTAAAGGGCACAACGCAAGCGTTTAAGGATAGATCGGGCCAATTAGGTGTTTTTCCCACTAAGGTGTCTTTAAAGATGGGAACAAAAGGGAGGCGGGGTCTCGCGAGATATTTAGTTGTGAGCATTATGTGCGATCTAGAGCTTGGAAAATGAGGTGGCTTAGCAGTGAGTTTGCGATTGACAGAAACAATAAAGAAAGAAGAGAGGAGATATTTACGTTGAGATAGTTTCTGCCAGACCAGGCAAGGTAATTTTATGCAGCCCACCCTTTACTTGAAGAAGTGAAAAGAGGCCCTTGACGTGCTGATCATTTAGCGACAAGCCGCCATAGACATGTAGCCATTGAAGGTTACAAAGGGGCACCCTTGGAGAGGTATCAGTATTTGTCGTCCATACGGAGTAATTGATCTTATTAAAGGCCATGCATAATACTGCCAAGATAATTTCGTCAGTGCAGAGCTGCTGAGGATCAAACATCATTTTATTTAGCTGTTTGATCGTCTCCGTCTCGCTTATGATCTGTTCCAGCTTCTCTTCCCGCGTTTGTGGGGCAACCTGGGAGCTTTCCAATCGTTTCCGCGTCTGTAAATGGCCTGCAGCGCCATACAGGAAGGCGGTGAACAGCGCTGGATTAGCCAATGCGGGCGGAAGCCAGCTCTTCATTACATCTTCTTGTCTCCATACTTGGTTCGAAGCACCAGGAACGAGACCGGGCCAGAGCTCAAAGGTGGCTACGTCCGTTATCAACAGGCGATGGTTAGTATAGAGCTCCGAAGCGATTTCTGGCCCGTTTCAACAATCAGAAGAGTGAAGCATATAACTCACCATATCTCAGTAACTTGTTAATTGAAGAACTCTTGAGCATGGAGGGGAAAACATGGGGTGGCTCGCCAACATATGCCGCGAGCTGGTTTAAGGGGCCGGTTGCCGTATTATATCCATTTTTATATATATATGGTGGTCCTCCCATATTCCATCCCGCTGATTGAACGTTCGAGGCATACTGAGTGACTTGTTGGCTGCCGTCCCCCGGACGCGAGCTCACCCCAGCTTCCACCATGTAGTCGTCCTCAGTGGTAGATGAGATATGTTTCTGGGGTAGCGGGAGGAGGAATAGAGACTCCTCCCCTTTCACAATATCGGATGCTAACGGCCATGGCCTTTTCTCTGTGGCAATATTTGGATCATCAGGAGATGGGAAGCATTCTGTCGGCGGGCGAGACGATTTGGAGTTTGAAGTACCACGATCTGCTCGGACAGCTCGATGCTGGCGCCAGATATATTTGCTGGCATGCGAGCGAATAACGGATCTGTTTTCTGATTTTTGAAGCTCGGAAGACGGATTGACACTGACAAAATGGAATATGCCGTTGGCTTTTGCATCAGTTTCTGGTCTCGCTAACGTTGCGGCAGCACGACGCTCTGACGCTCGAGCTCTTCTCCCTCTAGGCGGCATAATGGGCAATGCCAAGACTATATATTCTTATTTTTTTTACCTCAAGCAATCAAGTTCATGACAAAAGAAATAATTCCAGTTATGAAGGGAGCAGGAGTTTGGTCGAATGAAGCTGAGAGGGCAGTAGTAGTAGTATTTGCCGCAGGAACCGTCCTGTCGAACTGTTGATCGAGGATATAAAGGATTCTCCGAATCATTCGAAAGCAAGAAAGGGATACTGTGGCACTCTCGATAACGGGATGGTGGCTGGCTTGAATATGAAGGAGCGAGGCTGCGGGTCAAAGCGGTGTTCAGAGCTCAGAGTTTGTTTCGTGGAATAGAGATATAAGTTACGCCTCCCAGTGGTATATAAGAATATCCTTGACTTAGGGGGGATGTTTTGTTGGCTATCATTGCAGTCAATAATAAGGCCAATCACAATTCATCACCAGCGGTTCTGCAATCTGCTAATCGATTTAGCTTTTATGCACTGGTCTGGTCTGGAAGAGAAATGGCTTGAAATCAGGTGAAGTTAATACCGTCCACGCCAGACACGTCAAAGCGCAAGAAGGCTGACCATTGGAAAACAAGGGGCAACAGAGTTCCCTAGGAATGAGGGAGGGGTTTAGAAGTTTGATTCAAGTTCCAATTGGCATTTCGTTTCCCAGACAAGGGGAATAAGCGCAAATCGATTAAGCGCACAACCCTGGGACCGACCTCTGAGTAAACAAAGAAGCACAAAGACGAGAGGGATTGTTCAAAATGAAGGGCAATAGGATGGATGGATCAGATCAGAATTGCTGGGACAACAAATCTGTGTACCATCAGGCAGCGCCTCTGCCGTTTTCTTTTCCGTTTTAACCCTTTATTTTTTATCTTTTGCTTTTATTTTTATTAATGCGTCAACCCTGGGAGCAGAGACCCTTGGCCTCAGCTGAAGGGTAGAGAAACCGGGGGAACCCACCCAGCCAAAGAGCGCCTCCAGCTTCCTAGAGCAACCTGGAGGGGTCGTTTCTGGCAACGTGTACTACCATGTACGTAACATTGCTTTTGCTTAAGTCACACATCGGTCTGCTTCGAGAGATTACCCTCTATATGCCAATGGATGCATGCCTCCTGCTGTGGATCGTTGTTGGAGGTCTCCCGAGGACTTAAATACTGGCTTTTTCAGACCGATTCGACGGGCATTAGGCCAGATGAATGTCCGCCTGGTTTTTCTTATTCTCGAAGCCAAACGCTCCGGTACGAAGTGGGATGTTTACCCGGCAATGACGAAGACGCGGGGTTGATTGAAACAGTCGGGGCCATTTGACTACTTTTCCAGCCCGTGTCATTGCCATGGGTGTTGGCTCGCTCGAGTGAGTGAGCCGGCTCACGATCTGGCGGCGGTGAGGTCTGCGTTGGGCTAACCCCCTTTGTCTTGCAGTCTGGCTGTTGATCAAGATCATGATGGCGGTGGTTGATTTGGGCTGTTGATGTTGCACCAAATTATTTTCGCCAGGACCAGGAAAAGACGGTTAACCAGATTTTATGATCATGTCGGGCCCGTAGTTGTTGTAAAAAGTCACAATATGTGGATACATCCTGTGCATAACATAAATCCGATATTTTCACCCGATACAAATATATTCCCCCTAATGTCTGTGACGGAGAGATAGATGGGCCACCGCTCTCCTCTTCCCAGCACTGTTATTTTTTTTTTCTCGATTCGCTTCTCTTCTGGAGTCTGGCGTACAAGTTAGCCGTGATAGGTAGTGATGAAGCCCTGCTTCAGTTAGCTGTAACCATTTCTCCGCCACAAGTGTGAAGCCAAAACCATCCCAATGGCTTCTCACACTGCTTGGCAAGATGTCAACGGACATTGGGGCATGGATGAGCTGTAACTCCATCCATACATATATACATGTACGGTGCATGCGTGCAAGGGGGGAAAATTCTAGAATTCTGGCTCTCACTAAAAGCCTTCCAGAAACATTACACAGAGAAGAACAACATCCGAGATTACCAGAGCATATTTCCATAGACTGACTCTAATTTACACAACCAACCCCCTTCACATAATAGTTACCAGCTCTCACTCTGAGTTTCCTGCAATCCATTCAGGTCCCTCGTGGAGAAAGCTTGAAACTTCATTATTATTCGCCAGCCTCTGCGGGGTGATGGGCATCGAGGCTAGGTGGCGGGCGAGCTCTAACTAGTTAACTGACTCCTGGCACATGAATGGAGTTATATGTAAGTAAACTGCCAGCTGGGGGGCCCGGCCAACCGGTTGATGGGCCCCTAAGCAGTTGGAGTATCTCCTGACTCTCGAGCAAGCTCAGCTGATCTATGCAAAAGCTAATTTGAAGCGAGATGTGGACAAACCGTGTCTATATTTGGCATCTTCACGAATAACACAATACACTCAAAACATTCGCTGCTGTCAGAGCTGGTTCACGGCCAGCCTGCTTATTACTGTGGAAATCCTCCTCTCTTGGTAAGATGAACTCCGCTGGTGTTCTAGGGCAAATCTTGTTTTCTCGTTCCAGGTGGAGATTGAGTCGATAGTTACAAAAGTCTTCCTCTGAGGATGATATGCGATCAGAGAGGCCAGAGAGGTCAATGGGTCCAAGAGAGCGGCTTGGATGTAAAATCACAATTATATCACAGAGTTACCCGTAACAACGCTTTCGCTGCCTGTCGATATCACGAGTCCATGACCTGCAGATTGAGAATTACCGTTCACCCGCGCTGATTCATTAATTAGAGCTAGTTAGCGTATGCGACGTGTGTAAGTTCTTGTGAGCTGCTGAAGATTCCGCTCCAGTCACACTATCTGCAACCAATGATCATGAAGAATGCTTACCGAAGACAGGAAGAGATCGTCTTATATTCGAAACAACAACAACTCATTGTTTATTATTCTTGCTGGTCCGGAGTTTATCCATCTTCCTTTGAACTAACCAAAATGTCATATCTATTTTATCAGAGTTACGCGATAAGTATAATGGAGACCAAAACTTACGAGGCCTTGAACCTCATTCCTGGAAAAATGTTGCGCCAGCCCATAGTTATCATCACCCCGCTTGGCTTTCAACGACCCAAGAAATGGCAAAGAAGTAAATGTATGTACAGTCGGCTAGTTCCTTGACTTCACGTTTATGATATTAAAAGGCTTATCCTGGGATAGAAACAAGGCTTCCTACATAACTTGTGGGTGTACGGAGTATGTATCGTGGGATGGCGTCGCAAATCCTTCGTATATGCACATGCTTGAAGACATCGCCGTTATTGTATTTCTTTGTTGAGCCAATTATTCTGTTGGGGCGACATCGAACCACCAGAAGAAAGCTGGATGCACACTTAAAAAGGGAGAGGGGAAACTAGAACGGGAAAATCACAGACACTCAAGGAGTGCGCCATCTTCAGATAGTCATTTCCAGACTGGATTTGAAGATCCTCGAGGCTATCCCAAAGGAACCAGACACTTTAAAGTGAGTCAAGGGGGGGGGCAAACGCACGACCGCTGTGTAATTACCAGAATCAGATCATAGCAGACCAATTAAGCTCCACGCCTCTTCTTTTGTTTTTTTCCCTCTGTTTTCTGTTGTTGTTGACTGAGAAAAGAAGCCAAAAAAAAAATTAAAAAAAATTGCAACTTCGTCCGTCCATTCATGAGTTGCTCAGAATACCACCCAAGTAGAGTACTTACTGGACAGTCGGACTGTACTCCATATTTCCAATGCAACTCGAATACCCGTGGAGACGGCATGAGGAATTGAAACAAATTCTCGTTACTCATGAATATCATGAACTCGTGCTTGTGCTCGTACAAGTTGCTCGTGGAAGACAAGTGAACAAAAGGTTAATCCCATCTCCTATGTCGATCAAGCTGGATACCTGTGCCATGCAAGGGTCACTGAACAACTGCAATCATCAGTTGGCTGGGGTAAAAAGCCTCGACAGAGGGCAAGACAAAGTAGTAGAACCCGTTGGCTGCGGGTACACGCTGTTTCAGTGCGAATCAAGATCAATCAACACGGTCTTTTGTTTCTGCCAGTTATTTAGCACATTGGCAAGAAAATGCGATGGGAAATTGCATATAAAGCTATATCCTTCCCCAGAGCAGGACCGCAAGAGATCAGGCCCTGGGAGTGTTTTTGTTTTCGCCGGCTGAGAAGGACGCGAGTGGTGGTAGTCGAGAGTCGAGGACCTCGCCGATTTGAAACATGTACTAGAAGAAGAATGTCGGCAGCCGAAAAGGGCTGAGTTGTATGTAGGATCGACGTACTGTGTATGAACGAAATGGGAAGAGAAATTTCTGTACTTCCGAAAAGAATTCTCCTCTTTTCTTTCCGGGGGGGGGGGGGGGGGGGGAGGCAGACAGCAACGGTACACAGGATAGACACTTGCAATGAATGGGAGGTCAATATGCACATAAGCTGGCGCAAATAATAAAACTGCGAGAAACTAGTTATTGGTCCCGAAGCCGTGAATTTTATTACGGTTCGTGGTATATGGGTTTGTTATTTTCTCCTTTGTTCGACCACGCGACAAGAGTAGGACGAGGGTACAAAGCAAAGGAGAAAGGACTTCGCGAGGGTGAATTGACCATACACCAAGACAATATAATATATACGATGGTATAAATTTTGCCTCAGTTCCGCATTGATCCTTCAAGTTTGCCGGGAAATAAAGATTGCGCAGATGGAATACAGGCGAAATAGCCGACATATTACCGTGAGAGAGAAATTTTTGGGCCTTGTACAAAATACGGACTTTGTTGCAATGCAGAGGAACAATGAAAAGCCGAGCATATCTGCATGTGGAGCTGCGAGATGCATTGTTAAGAATTCCCTGAGTTCCTGGTTTTCTCAAACCCACAGAGCATAGTGGCAGTTGGTCGTTAGCTTTCAATTACATCTTCGTATCTGCATATACGGATGTGCAATGGCCTGAGCCCGTTTTCGTTCTCCGCGCCGAGCAACGTACCTTGCGGTGGTATAAATCATATGGTTTATTGATTAGAATAGCTCGTTCTTGCCCGGACCAAACGACAATTGAGGTTGAAGGAATGTAATAAACGGCCCTGGGAATGGGTCCCCCGGGACATCCTCAAAGCTGAGGAGAGAATGGTGTGAGGGAGGAAGAAAGAGATGGAAATGGCCAGCTCCCAATACGGGACCTTGCATCCAAAACTTGTCCCTACCGCAATAGCTCGTGGTATATAGATATCCCTGCTAGCCGTTCTGGAAACTCCTGTTAGTGATGCAAGGTGCTATACGGTCCAGTCCTCAACACGTCCCCTGACACCATAGAAAAAAAAAGTTCGATAATGGCGGTGATGGGTCAAAAAAGTGTAAACTGATATGGTCAAAATATCAAGTATTAAAATATTTGCAAGTGGAGCATTTGATCGCATTTGAATACATGGAGATAGGAAACAAGGCATCTCCACCATCTATATATATTCCCCCTTCCCTGCCATTCCCCGCCCTACCCACGCCGTCTGACACAGAAAAGCATGAATAAAAACACGAAAATATAACAACCATGAGGAATCCGCAAATAGTTTCGAACTCATTTTTGTTGCTGACGTATTTGTTGTTTGAGCTTCTCGATGAGCACCGGATTGGGTCCGTGGCGGCCTTTATATATAAATCGAAGAAAAGCCAGAGCATCAGTGAATGCCTTTCCTTAGAGAGCCAAACAACCAAATCGCGCACATCATATTTCTGCACTGGAGTGATGGAGAACAAGCAATGGCAAAACAAGGGAACAGAAAGAAGGCTTTTGGGGTTATGTCTATGTTCATGTTCATGTTCATTTTATTTTTATTTTTTCCCTTGGTGTAGAGGATCTAGAGCTCGCTGTGTTTACCGTCACCTTCCTCTGGCTCCATGGCTAGTTCGCCGCTCTTGGAGATTTTGATAGGCTCCTTTGGTTTGTCGCCGTGACCCTTTTCCACATTTTGGATCTTATCGACAACTTCGTAGCCCTCGAGGACTTCGCCGAAGACAACGTGGCGGTTATCGAGCCACCTGTATTATGAATTGTAAGTAGATGCAGATACAAAGGGGTATTCCTCCTGGAGATTACATACCTGGTGATTTCCGTGGTGATGAAGAATTGCGAACCATTGGTGTCTGGTCCGGCGTTGGCCATACCTAAAAAACATATATTTATAAATAACGAATGCGGATAGCATCCTAGCACACTTCGTTGGATAGATGGACATACTCAGAATGCCTTTCTTTGTGTGTCGCAGCTTGAAGCTTTCATCAGCAAACTTCTCTCCATAGATAGATCTTCCGCCGGTTCCTTTTTCCCCAATCATTGTTAGCAGATGTGATAGTACGACGCTGGTTAGTGATATCTTGAGCAGTATCTGTACTCACCGTCGCCATTAGTAAAGTCACCACCCTGAATCATGAAGTCCTTGATGACTCGATGGAACGTCGAGCCTTCATAACCGAAACCCTTCTCGCCAGTAGCCAATGCCCTTGAAAGAAATCAGTAATTGGCTCGCAAGACCTGTAACCGGAAGTTGTATCGTTTACCTACCGGAAATTTTCTGCGGTCTGTCGCACGTCAAATCCCACATGTTAGCGAAGTCGATACGGAACCGATACATATGGGAGGTATAGGAAGCATAGTTGTCTGCCCACCTTAGGGACTGACTTTCCATAAAGGCCCATTACAATACGCCCAAGAGGTTTGTCTCCATGAGTGATGTCAAAGTAAACCTACAGGAACTGAATTAGTCCTCTATCCCAATGTAGAGGGATATATATATATATAGGAGCGTGCATAGTTAAAACACACCTTGTTGGTGATCTTGGGGCCCCTGGCTTCCGCACTCTGACCAAGGAAGAGAAATCCGCCTGCAATGACGGCAGAGGTGAAGGCGAGGATACGTTTTAAGGGTGCCATGGCTTCAGTGATTCAAGAAGAATCGTTATGTATATCAAGAACGGGTTGTTAAAGGGTCCCCGGTGTAAGTGCATATAGAGGCATTGGTAAGGCCAGTTTGCGTTTGGATAAATACAGCTGGCTCGGATCAACATTGTTCCGAGGGCTACAAACCCAAAGTTCGACGCAAAAAGGGCTGTAGGAAGTTGACAACAAGGACGAGCAGATTGCTCATAGCCAAGATGGTGAGTTATCAGCACTTCTCCTTACTCGATAACATGTTTGCTAACCCAATTGCCCACTCCACAAAACAAAACAAACAAAAAAACAACTGCTGAACACCTCTTTTCAGGTCTTCATTTTCGGCATCAACTTCCCCGAGCGACAGCTCGTCAAGGCAAGCAATGCACACACTCCACACTCTAAAACCCCGATAACTCCCTCAAAGGGACAGCCCAAGGAACACCTCTAGTCCCCTTTACATCTAACGCCACTGTCAACAGAAAGCTCTCCAATCGTTCTTCGGCATCGGCCCGCTGACATGCAGCAAAGTCATGGCCCGCTTCTACGTTCACGAGACAGCCAAAATCGGCGACCTAGGTAACAAGCAAATCCTAAGTCTAACAGCGGCGTTGTCAGAGATGAAGATTGAAAACGACCTGAGACGGCAGATTTTGGATGATATTCAACGCTTGAAGGATATTGGTACTGTCAGGGGTAGACGGCATGCGCTGGGCTTGCCGGTCCGCGGACAGAGGACGAGGTCACAGGTATCAGACTTCTTCTTCTTCTTCTTCTTCTTCTTCTTCTCTCTCTCTCTCTCTCTCTCTCTCATTTATTTTATTTTATTTGGCCTTTTGTTTCCTTTTAGCTTGTGGACCGATTCTTGTAGCCGGTCCTGCGGCATCGATGCGTGGTTTGGTCTCCTTGGTATTTCCTTTTGCTGATGGTTACACCCTGCAGAACAAAACGGCTATCAAACTCAACAGGTTGGACAGACGGCTTGGGATCAAAGGGCCGCGGTAAATGGGTTTCATCCTTCCCTGTATTCTCTTCTTGTTTTGATATTGCATATCCGGTGGAGGTTTTAAAAATACGGTGTTATTGTTTAATTTTATATTATCTCATAGACTTTGAAATGAAAATAATGATGCTCCAATGATCAACTTAAGATGAAACTTCCCCATGTAAACGGAGGCAATAAGCGCTTCAAAGGCAAAATGGATTCCATCAGAAGAAACTTAACAAACCATCTACTGACCACCATCCCCCTTGGGCATAACCCCTTCCCCTCTATTAATCTGTAACATCTTATCCTCCCCAGCACTAACAATCCCAACGCTCTTATCCCAACAGACATCAAACACCTTAACTCCCTCCCCACCAACCCTCTTCCCAGCACCCTCCACACTCTTCCTCGGAATCGAATAGATGCTCTCGCCCATAACCCCATCCTTATCCGTCTTCGTCGACCGGACATCCCATATCCGACACGTCCCGTCATGGCTACCACTAATCAGCCCGTGCGTACTATTAGGATCCCGTGCCAGACAGACAACAGCATTCGTATGACCTCTCAACGTCAGTGCAGAGACTGTCGTCGCTGACGCGCGTGGGTCTATCAGGGTGATATGCCTGGCAGAGGTTCCGGCGGCTAGAAGGCTGAGTTCAGGTAAATGCACCACGGAGAGTAATGAGTGAGAAGCGGTACGTGTGTCCACTAGCGCCCCAGTTACGAGATCCCAGGTACGCAGCGAGTGGTCCCATGAGGTTGAATATCCCACAGTAGGATCTTTTGCATCGAAGATCGCTGCAGAAACGGGACCAGTGTGCGATTTCAGTAGTGCGAGCGGCCCGCGCTGGGGTACGGAAACGGATGAATTGAGTTTTCGTCGCTTGGAGCTTCGCGAGGTGTTTGATGGGAGCAAGTTTTCGGGCGCAGCTGGGGAGTCTGACTTTTTGGTTGACCAGAATCCTACCGCATGGTCTGCTGATGCTGACAATATGCGATTCGATTTGGCGTGTATCGCTATCGAATCAACACTGCCTCTGTGTCCGTAAAGCTCCAGTTGTGGAATAATGCTTGCCGAAAATCCATCTTCGCTATCTGAGTATTTCCATAATCGCACTGTTCTGTCGAGCCCAGAGGAGACAATCTGATTTGGTGAGAGCATTCTCGCACTCCTGATCGAAGCAGTATGTCCACCCACACCGGCAGAGGGGGACACAGCAATCGTCTCCGAAGACATATTCCATATCCTCAACAGCCCATCATAGCTTGCTGACAATATCCTTTCCTGGCCCGCATTGATAGATCCACCTCCAAATACCGACGTGCCAGACAAAACATCCACAGCACTGATCCAATCGTCGTGCTGGAACGAGGCGACATGCAGTGGCGGAACAAGCGCACGAACATACTCAACATCAAGAGTAGTCTCAGTAGAAATGCCATTCTCTGTTAAATACTCGTCGATAGATGTGCGTAGGTATACGCCGTTTATCAAAAACTCGAGCGGAATCGGCTTCTCGCTGCCCAGAAGGTTGTTCACCAGGGTTGACAGAGCATATCTTCGAAGGCCTTCCACGGCGCAAAATCAACACACGCAAGCATTAGCCCATATATTTACCCAACTAAACAAATACTTCAATCATCCCGCACAAGACTTACCGGTAGGAACAAGTATCGGGCCGGTGCCTTCGGGAAGCGCTATATCTTCATGCCGCGATGTGAGCTTCAGTCGTACCTGTCTCTGTGCTTGCTGCGATGTCGACCCACTCGCCTCCACAGAAACATCATTTGTTCCGTTCATATTTTAAGGCACTGGTAAAAAATAGTTGAGACCCTGCACTCATTGATTATATTTCAATTAGTTGTGTATGCGCAGAGTGGTTGATTGTGAGGGAATTTTTTTTACGGTGGGCGAGACGGCAAAGTGTGCAATAACTAACTATAGGGAAAGCTTAATTACTCCAGCTGGTTAAGGAGTCAGCTGCAGTTGACCCTCGTAGATAATGAAATAAATAAAATATGAATATGAATGATAGAAATACGGCTGATATGCCGAAATACCTGCTATACATAGGAGCTTTATAAATACATTATAATATATTTCAAGATATCCGCGACGTCCTTCGAATTTCGACAATAGCCCTCCTCCGATGGTCTGAATCCGCAAACAATGCCTTGATCAGGTCCGTCACCTCCTCCGGAGAAAACTCAAGCTTCAATTCCCCCTCCGTCCACAGATATTTGATATCTGCTAGAGAGCTCTCTAGGATGTTAATCAAATACTGGAACTTGAGCCAATTCGGAACATACACCGCTGTCATCGGTACCACCTCCATCTGTCCAGCAGCCGTATCTTGCTCCGTTTGAGGTTCTGGCAAAAACAAGTCTTCGAGTTTGGAGACATGGTTGAAAAAACCCGCAAGTCGTTGTGATTCAGCGTCCGAAATATCGCTCAGGTCCTCGATGTCGAGGATCATTTTGTTAATGACCGTTGATAGCAGTGAGCCGATGGATTGAAGAAGTGCGGAGGGTGACAGGATGGATGCCCACTCTTTATGAATAAATCGCATGCGATCAACTGTTGCGCTGACTGCGTTTTCACATTCCCTTAGATACGGCTGCTCAGCACAGTTGGCAAATCCTTGGCTTCCGTCGAGCAAATCCAATAATATTGTGCGTTGTGACTGCATTTCCTTGCTATACGCAATCTTGCCAAATTTTTCAACGGTTTCAACATCCGACGTTAATCTGGAAAGATTGTGCGTTTCTATTAGAGTTCTTAGTTGTTCTGCGAAATACATGCTGTCGTTGTAGAGGTACATCTGGCCAGCAGCGAATTTTTGGGAGTAGAACATCGGCGCAACAGCTTTGAACATCGCAATAACCAAGGTAGGAAGCCCGAGCAGACCAGGGCCAGATGAGGCAATTTGTAGTTTCGAATATCTTTAGGCAAGGTTGGTTAGGAAAAATTCAACAAAGTACAACGTTTAAGCAGAGTCAGCTTACTCTGGTGATGCAAGTTTTTCAGAATCCGCAACTTGTGCAGCAATTATGCTCAGAATTGAATCAGGAATATCTGTTATTGTATAGAGTTCACTTAATGTAACTTCATGCCTGGGGGATTGTTTCCCATCTCCATCTCCGTTCATATGTTCCGCAGACTTTGTTGTAGGATCAGGTGGTCGCGTCGCATCGTCTGCATCCTCAGCTTCGTCACCCCAACCCCAAGCGTCCTCATCTATATCCCCTCCATCATCGGTTGGCTTATTGTTTTGCCCGTCTGGTTCTAAAGAATCAGGCTCATCAAGCCCCCAGGCGCTGAAGTCATCATCTTCCTCATTAACAGGCTCCTTTGGAGCGGTAATGTCGGTGCTTTCTTCGTTATCACTAGTCCATTCGGCATTCCAGTCATCTGCATTTTTAGAAAACACGTTATCCTTTTGAGACACATGTTCAGTTTCCACCCTTTCTACCTTTCGTGTCTCCCCATGGCTTGTAGAAAGGGTAACTCGGACTTCATCAAGCGATTTTATTCGTCGCTGGTTGAGCCATAGGCGAGGTATTTGTTGTTTGAACGAGTTTAATTCATGAGATCCAGGACATCCTATTTCATCTAGGGCTTGTGAGAATTTATGGGTGTGGTCTAATATCGCCTGAAACTCTCCGGTTCCGTCAACGCCTGAGGGGAATGAGGGCAACAGCTTGCTCGAAACCAGTGAGGACACCATAGGTGAAGCTAGTTTTGTATTAAGTGGGACAGTGATCGCAGATGGTAGGTGTTGCTGAAGGTATTTGATGAGGGATAAAAGCATATCAAAAATCTTCGTTGGTTCATTTGTGGCAGTTTGTGATAACACTCGTATGGAATCTCCGTCAAATGAGAGGGTTGACGCGCCAAATCCAGTTGGTAGTAGGATTGGATCCAGGATAGACGTGTATATATCCTTAAACAAAGAATCGACAATGGATCCCAGCATGTCCAATTTTGTAAGCGCAAGGAGAACCTTCTCGAGGTTTGAGGGGGAATCTTTTCACCAAGTTAGCAAAAAAAAAAAAAAAAAAAACAGAAAACCTAGTTGAAAATGCACAATCATCAACGGACCGGGATCGCCAGTAGTCACAGTCATTTGTCCCAGCTCGGAATCAATTTTGACTAACGAATCCCACTTTCGACGCAAAACAGTTACCAAAGCGGCGCGCAAAGCGGACACATTTTCAGATAGTATTCGGAGAACCGGAGTGGTCGATGGTAACCCGGTGGTTTTCAATAACATCTCGATCTCCTCAAACAGCCCAATAGCAGATTCCAGCTCTCCCTGCTCAATCGCCATCTGCGCAGAGGAAATGCGATAGTCGATAGTTCGAATATCCTCGAGGTTTCGGGTCACAGCTTCAGAGAAGGCGATCTCATTCTCCAACAGTTCTACCTTCTTGGCCGCATCCGTGACTTGATTCTGAAGCTGTTGCACCTTTTCATGCTGCCGGACAATCTCCCTTGCCGTCGACCTCGACCGCTCGATTTCCTCATGGAGCTGTTTCGCTTGGGATATCCACCCATCAACGTCAGACGCGGTTTCTCGACTGAGGGTAGATATTTCGTTCTAGCGGAATACAAATCAGTTAGGATTCAGAAGCATCAAGGACAAATATACAACGCGCCGCTCATATGAGGTTCATACCTCAGCTTCCTCCCTAGCCTTGGAGATCAGCCGAAGCACTTTGGCGGCAGCCGTGGAAGGAAATTCTGCGGACACAATGTTTTCGGCCTCGGGAAACGACCCGTCGGTTAGTGATTTGTAGATAGTTTGACAAACATCTTCCTCAGCAACCTTTGGAGCCATTGCAAAACAGCTACAAAACTACTGGAAACCACCCTTTGTGCCCGATAGTCGCCGGGGTCGCTGCACGCACAATGAGCCAACCTTGCGAGTACAGATCAACTTTTAGCCACTTAACCAAGATGTAACCAACCAATGAAGCCTCACTTCCTAGCTGTGACTATCGCTTCATGAAAGTACCCACAAGCCTGCGACCTATGCCACAGAGAGCTACGGCGCTGTATCTATCTCATTTAGAGCAATGCTGGTTGAGATGTTGTATTGATGCCGTAGGTGAGTTAGGACAAACAGCGGAGAGAGAGGTTGATCCAGCGCCAAGACCAACGTCACTCTTTTCCTAATAGTGGGGGGAGTTGACTAGTTATGCCGCCGCCTGCGGGACATCAGAATTTTTATGCTCGACGGACGCTGAAATGGGGGGAGAAACGTGTACAATCTATTTAAAAAGCTCGAGGGCAAAGGCTTCTTCTCTGTATGTTCTTTTTTATTTGCTTTGGAAACCCTAAATACAGGTGGTTTGGTTTGACTTCGGGTTTCTACTCCTATTTATAGAAAATAGTCAACTATAAAAATACTTGTCCTCGTCCTCGATTGTCGGCGAATTCCCGTTGGAGTCAACTCCTAGGCGAAGTCAGAAAATAGACACCGTGTCTCTCTCCCGACAAGAAAGAATAGCTGGGGCGTGGGTTTTTAATGTAAGTGAACAGAAAATCTGATGTCCTCAACGTTCATGTTCATGGGTGATGTCCTTAATGGACAAATATCAGCCCGTATTCTACTCCTCTTTTATAAATATATATATGTTTTAAATTCTTGATCAGTGCTGCATAAAGCCCCCTCTTATCCTCGCTTCAAAAGCTTTAATCTGGTTGCCACGTATGTGAACAGACAGGTATTTATGTCTCGTGCATGTGTGGTCCATGGTTTCTCTGGGTATCCGCATCTGCAAGAAATACTGATTCCTTATATTGTACCCCAACCCCGGTGGAGTTGGAATATCACTGTTTGCGATGTTGTGATATCTTGCGATTGCTGTTGTTCGGGCCTATGTGGCACGATGGCCGATGCATGAATGAGAATATACTAACAGTCCCTAGTGCTCGAAACGATCTCCGATTTCGAATTATTACAAAAGTTCTTATTACGGAGGATTTGCAACACAAGCGAGGATGGGCTCGGTCAGAGAAGAAAATTACTTTCGGCAACTCCAAAAATTCAAACCAGACTATTCGCCATCCTTCTTCACCCAGTATGAGTCCGAGAGGACGGGTATGCGGGTGGTGGTCATCGATCGACAAGGCCCAATAGTTGAAGGGTACTTTGTCCTAGCGACGGAGATTCATGATGATTCTGGTTCACCTCACACTTTAGAGCATCTCTGCTTCATGGGTTCCAGAAGCTATCAATACAAAGGATTTCTGGACAAGCTTGCTACCAGAGCTTATTCAAACACAAATGCCTGGACTGCTACGGATCACACAGCGTACACATTGGACACGGCAGGATGGGAAGGTTTTGCTCAAATCCTTCCCGTCTACCTGGAACATATCATTGCCCCTACATTGACTGATGCTGGGTGCTATACTGAAGTGTACCATGTGGATGGCACGGGTCATGATGCTGGAGTAGTATATTCAGAAATGCAGGGTGTGCAGAATACTTCTTCGGAATTAATAGACCTGAAAGCCAAACGCCTGTTGTATCCAGAAAAGATAGGTTTCCGCTACGAAACAGGCGGAATGATGGAGCAACTCCGAGTTCTGACAGCTGATCGTATCCGTGCGTTCCACCGGGAAATGTACCAGCCCAGAAACTTGTGCCTCATCATCGCGGGAGAAGTGGACCACGACAACATGCTACAAATTCTGAATCGGTTTGAAAGCACTGTACTTGACATCATCCCACATCCTGATTCAACGTTCAAGAGACCGTGGATGGAGTCACCACAAATACCGATGCTTGAAAAGTCTGTGATTGAGCGGGTGGAATTTCCGGAGACAGATGAATCTTTCGGCGAGGTGGAGATTCGATTTCTGGGACCAGATTGCACTGATATCATTTTAAGTAAGTGCTATATGATTCGTATCGTTCTAGAAAACATGTAGCTAATACCACGTAGGTTCGGCGCTCAGTGTTTCTCTCATGTATCTTGCGGGTTCGTCTGCTACGGTCCTTGAGAATACATTGGTCCAAAAAGAGCAGCTAGCAAGCGCTGTCTATTATTCCACATCCGACTCCCCTAGGACTGAGGTTTCTTTCACCCTTACCAGCGTAGCCACCGAAAAGCTCGAGCAAGTGCATCGTCGATTCTTCGAGGTGTTAAGGGAGAACATGCAAAAGGAAGTTGACATGGAATATATGCGGGAGTGCGTGCGACGACAAAAACGGAGCTGGAAATTTGCCACTGAAACCTCCACCTTCCCTTTTGCCGGACGTGTAATAACCGACTTCTTGTTCGGCAAGAGAGATGGTTCTACTCTACTAGACATCGCAAGTCTGAGTGAGTATGACGAGTTGGAGAAATGGAACGACAGCCAATGGCGCGGTTTTATCAGGAAATGGATGTCAGAAGCATCACACGTTTCAATCTTGGGTGTACCATCCGCCAAGCTTGCCACCAAATTGAAAGAGGATGAAGAGTCGAGAGTTGCGTGGCGGAAGAAGACACTTGGAGAGGAGGGGTTAAAGAGACTGGCCGAAAAGCTGGAACAGGCTAAAGCTGAAAATGACAAAGAGATACCGGAGAGTGACCTATCTAAATTCAAGGTTCCGGGCACAGACTCAATTCCTTTCCTCTATACCACAACGGCAAGATCCGGGCTCGCACTCAGAAGGGGTCATCCTGATAATCGAATTCAAAATTTGGTTGATTCTGATGCACCAGATTCACCTCTGTTCATCCATTTTGAACATATAAATAGCAACTTTGTCCAGGTTTTCCTAACCATCTCCACGAAGTCGGTACCGGTAGAGCTCCGTCCGCTTCTAGCCGTTTATACAGAAGCCTATTTCAGCATCCCCGTTCTTCGGAATGGAGAGGAAATCCCCTTTGAGCAGGTCATAGTCGAACTGGAGAGGGACACAGTTGGATATAACATGGATGTTGGATTTGGTAACCCAGAAATGCTCATAATTACTTTCCAGGCGGAGCCAGAGAAATATGAGGCAGTCATATCGTTCATCAATGAACTTTCATGGGAGTCCATATTTGACGTCGAAAGGCTCAAGGCGATTACTGTTCGCCTGCTATGTGATGTTCCGGATGCTAAGCGGAGTGGGAATGACATGCTGGATGCAATGCAGATAATGGTCAAGCATACCCCTGAATCAATTATCCGTGCCAGGAGTACTCTCGTCAAAGGCCTGTACCTAAAGCGGACTAAGCAGCAGCTGGAAGAGAATCCTGAAGTTGTCGTTGCTCGAATGAAGGAGCTCAGGAAGCAACTATTTCGCTTCGAGAATTTACGCGTCTTTGTCATCGCGGATATGGAAAGGCTTCAGAACCCTTCTTCGGCGTGGAAACCATTCATCGATCGACTTGATGCTACCGATTGGCTTGTTCCGATTACGAAGTTGCGAGATCGATTGACAGAGGCTGCTAAAAATCCAGGGACTATCTCGTACATCGTTCCCATGTCAACAATCGACTCCTCTTTCGCCAATACCAGTGCCAAGGGACCGGATTCTTACGATCACCCCAGACTCCCAGCCCTTCTGGTGGCTATGGCCTATATGAACGCGGTCGAAGGACCATTGTGGGTGGCCATCCGGGGTACTGGCCTTGCATATGGCTCTCGATTCCGGTACAATGTCGATGCAGGACTTGTGCATTTTAATGTATACCGGTCACCGAATGCATACAAGGCATTTGAAGCTGGCAAGAAAATTGTCGAGGACCATTTGTGTGGGAAGGTGCCGTTTGACCCGCTAATGACGCTCGAGGGCGCCATTAGTAGCATTGTGGTTGATTTTGTTAATGAACAGACGACCCCGGCGAGTGCTGCGCAGGCCAGTTTTGTTCGACAGGTTATTCGGGTGTTGCCTAGTGACTATCAAGAGAAGATATTAAGGAAGGTGAGGGAAATTGAGATTGGGGAGATTAAAGAGGCTCTGAGGGATATTATTTTGCCCCTTTTTACGCCGGGGAAGTCGGATATCGTGGTTACGTGTTCGCGGGTACTTGAAGAGGTAGGATATATACACCCCCTCCGCTTGTTTTTCAATATAAATCTTGCTACTTTTTACTGACGATTATCTACAGCCTATCAAGAAGGGATTCGAGTCTGTGGGATACAAGCCGGAAGTACGAAGTCTGAAATTCTTTGAGGATGATTACGGGTTGAAGCTCGACGAAGGAGAAAAGGATGGGGAGGGGGAGGGGGAGGGGAAGGACGAGGAGGAGGAGGACTCCGGAAATGACGATGACAGTGAGGATGAAGATGAAGACGAAGATGGCGATGACGATGACGATGACGAAATGAATTGAAGACTTCACTACATGCTGCCTATTTAATGTTCCAGGGAAGGTTTTGGTGGTAATGGGCTTATTTAACTAATGTCAGTTGCAGATTGCGAGACATAGACTATTTAAGGGAATGGAATAGATTTATTTAGTTGCCTTCAGAGTCTGCTAATTTATGTTTTCCTTGATATTTAGCTAGCAATAAATAAGCTATAATAATAGAATCAATGGATATTTTCTAACTCCATTGTTCACTCTGATTAAGATAGGTACATATTTACGGTTGGTGTCCGCCGTGTGCGGGCTTGGCATCCAGTTGCATCCAAACCAAAAGGTGGCATTAATCATCAAAACCCGCCCTAACCAAGTTAACCGGCCATTGAGTTGACTATTCTGAAAAAGCCGTCAAGTTCAACATCCAAACAACAGAAGAACGAACGAACTTCTTCCTCTCTCCTGCTGCCATCATCCACCAGCATCACGGCAGCAGTCTGGCAATGAATATCCTACAGGTATGCCTTTAATTCCCAACCTATATCAAGATGGCGCGTTGAGACGGGAAGGCAACCATACTGATCTGAACACCTATGCTATAGCAACTCGCCCAGCTCCTCGATCGCCCATTCTTCCCCTGGAAGAAGGTGATCGTGGGCTTTTCCGTCGGGCAGTATCTCATCGAGGGATTCCTGTCTCTCCGACAATACAGGGTACTCCAACAGACGAAGCCGCCAAAGGTGTTGGCGGAGGAGGTTTCGCAGTCTGTCTTTGATAAGAGTCAGGTACGCTTACTTGTTTTTTAACACCTGTTTGTTTGTCACGTATTGTCCTTCTCTTGGTCTGCGTTTCCGTCTGACATGTCCAATTTTCCCTTCTGCTGCAGGCATACGGACGAGCAAAGGCCAAATTCGGTTTCGTGTCCAGTCTCTATGGCCAAATCCAGAACCTTGCATTCATCTATTATGACGCCCTTCCCAAGCTGTGGGCTATAACCGGCCTCCTCCTCACCCGCTACATGCCCGCACCCTTTACGGGTGAGATCTCCCATACGCTAGCTTTCGTCTTTACATTCAACATCATCACCACGATCCTCTCCCTGCCCACGTCGTACTACAACACCTTCGTCATCGAGGAGAAATTCGGCTTCAACAAGCAAACCATCAGGCTATGGGTGACGGATATGCTCAAGGGACAATTTCTGGGTATCGTACTGGGAGCACCAATTATCAGCGCCATCTTGAAAATCGTCAAGAAGACTGGCACCAGCTTCTTCTATTACCTCTGGCTGTTTGGCATCTTTGTCCAGCTGTTCGCCATTACTATCTACCCAATTGTCATCTTGCCGTTGTTCAACAAATTGACACCGCTGAAACCTGGGAATCTCAAGACTGGTGTTGAGGATTTAGCTAGGAGACTCAAGTTCCCTCTCAAAGAGCTGCATGTGATTGACGGAAGCAAGAGGAGCGCTCATAGCAATGCGTATTTCTATGGCCTCCCGTGGAAGAAGCATATTGTCATTTACGATACCCTGATCGAGAAGAGCGAACCTGAGGAAGTCGTTGCGGTTCTGGGACATGAGCTGGGCCACTGGAGTCTTAATCATACTACAAAGCTGTTTGGAATCGCTCAGGTATGTTGAAACCGCTCCAACTTTCCTTTTCTTTATTTCTTTTTTTATTTATTTATCCCCCCCCCCTGGGATTAATGATTACTGACTTTTTAAATTCCGTTCCACATAGTTCCACATGTTCTACATCTTTGCCCTTTTCTCCGCCTTTGTGAACAACAAATCGCTGTACCAGGACTTCGGATTTGCCAATGAAATGCCCATTATGATCGGTTTCATTCTATTCTCTGATGCGCTTGCACCTATGGATGCTGTGGTGAAGCTATTGATGAACGTTCTAAGTAGAAAGTTTGAATTTGAAGCTGGTAAGGGTTTTCCCCGCTCGAAAAAATAAATTATTATTTGCCGCCAATCGCAGTTAACACCATTTATTTCTGTCCTTTTAGACGCATTTGCCGTGAATCTCGGATACTCCACTGAGCTCGCCAAGTCGTTGCTCAAGCTCCAGATCCAAAACTTGTCCACCATGGACGCAGATTGGATGTATGCCAGCTATCATTACTCCCACCCAATTCTTCCAGAGAGGCTTGCTGCGCTTGGGTGGAGCGGGGGGAAGGTGACTGGAGGGAAGAATGAAGATAGCGAGAAGCCAGTAAAGACTGCTGATCGGGAGTTGTAGGTTGAACGGAGGCTGTCAGGGGCGTAGAGTTAGATCAGTTTTATATATTGGGATATATAATTTAAATTGGGACAAAACAAGAGCGTGCTGTTTGTTAATTTAGGTAATTTGTTGTTGTGCTTGATATGAGGAGAGTTTTAGGGGAAAATCTTACCAGAAAGGAGCGAGCGGGTGGTCGACTCGCTCCAATATACCTAGGAAGAAACATCTACATTCCCCCCCTCCCCGCTGCTTGACCAAGGTGATGAAGTAACGAAACAACCAAATTACATTTCACCACTCCCATGTTCATGTCACAGCCGCAGTCTTAGACTTAACCTTCTTCTCCGCCTTCCGCCTCTCCTTTTTCCTCCTCTTCCGCTCCTCCTTATCAATCCCAACCTCCCCACCTCCCACCACCCCATCACCCGCATCAACATCCATCCGCATCCCCACCGGCACCTGATCCCCCTCCTCAACATCCCCACCCCCATCCCCATCCCCATCTCCATCTCCCTCCCCAGCATCCACAACCTCCTGCTCCCTCTCCCAACTTTCCAAATCCTGCCACCCATCATTCACCACCTTCCCCTTCCCACTCCAGTCCTCCCCATCCCCCTCCATCATCTCCGACATTAACAAAACTGGCCCCCCATCCTCCGGCTTCGCAAATGTTAAATCCCTCCCCAGCACCTCCCCTGCCAGTCCCGCCTGCACGCGCTTGAGATTGTGTATGATCAGATTGGGCGCTGAGCCTGTGCTGGCGGATGTGGGGCCGTGGGCGGTCAGGATGGAGTTTGGTTGGAGGCTGGGATCTGTGGTTGCGCGGTTTAGGTATGCGGTTAGGAATTCGTGGGCGGCTGAGGGGGAGATGCGGTGGGTTTTGGATTTTGAGGGGTGGATTATTGTTGGCGGAAGGGGGTTGGGGGTTGATTGGAAGGCCATTTCGGCGTTTTTTAAGCACCTGTTCAGGGGATTATCCCCTTATTTCCTTTTGGTTCGCGATTTGCGCCGGTCGCTTGTGAGGCCCGGGAGAAGCGTAGAGGGTGTCTGTTTCGGAGCTGGGCTTTTAGTTTATTGTCTTTTGTATGTGAAGAGTTCTGAGGATGAATGAATATTGTGGGGCGTATTCTGTTTGGTTAAATTTGGGGATGAGATATTTCAGATAGTTATGGAAAGAAATAAGTTTAATGAATCGTGCAATAAGATATTTATTTATGTTCAACTACTCTTTTGTAAAGATCTCGGACAAAATTTTTCCGAACCGCTGTTCTCGTTGGTACTTCAACTTCAAACATCTTTGTGGATTTCTGTATAATTCAATACCAAACAACGCTCTGCATCATCGATACAGCCATAGAGGTCCTCAATTGAATCGCCCCGCAAAGATGTCCTGTCTACACTGCGCAAGGACATCAACGTCCCTTCTCTCCTCCAAATTCCTCTTTCAATCTCTCCCGCGGTACCTACATATCTCCCTCCCTTCCCCGAAACACTCCCAATGTCAAGCTCCTTTCAAGCCCAACAAAGCTAACGATCCCAATTCAAAATAGAATCCACAACAAATCTATCCCCTCTCTCCTCACAGAATATCAATCCCGCCCTTTCTCCCATCTCCTCTCCCACCAACACATCCCCGCACAACAATCGCCAACTGGCACATCCCCTTTCCGCCTCTTTCAGCCATCCATCACCCCCGCGCAACCAACGACAACAACACTCTCTCCATCTGTATCCCTGTTAGCATTAATTCCCGGTACCACTGCTCGCCCATTCTCCGCCTCAGCAGCCCTGGGCGGAAAGCGGGATACATACAACCCCAGCCGGCGGGTACAGAAACGCCGCCACGGTTTCCTGGCGCGATTGAAGACGAATAGTGGACGGAAGATTTTGGCTAGGAGACGGGCGAAAGGGAGGAAGTCTTTGAGTTGGTAGAGAGAGTGAGAGTGTTGGCTGGTTTGGTTTGTTGAAAAGATGCTGTATTGGGTTTTCAGTTTTGTTGAATTTTGCGTTCAATAATCTTTCGTATGCCGGGCTGGATTTTTGCTTCTCTTTCCCTTGTTTATACTGTGGAACGAGGTGGTTGTGGCTGCAGTGAGAGTCTTGCATTTGTGCAATATATGTGTACAGTATGGCGAAAGAGCTGTGGAGCGGGATATAGAGTGGGCAAAAGGGATGTATGTATGCATGATTTTTTGGCGTTAGTTTTTCCCTATCTCATCTCATCTTCTCTTTTCTTTTACCCAGGCACCAAATTCAATTTTTACCACACTCTGGTTTATTTTAACCTCTCAGCCCAGGGAATATAGATGGTGACTTAGACATTTTGGTTGCCAGCCTCATTTATGTTGGAGGGTGTTGCAAGTTTAATCTCCAATCTTCATATGCGGCTTTCGCTCCACCGCAAGCTCCCTATACGGGTGGGTCACAGCATTGTTCGTGTCTTCCTGGATGTTGACCAGCAACTCTGTGTCTCGTGTTGGGAGGTAGTCCTTGCATAGCTCCTTAGATCGTGTATCGTAGAGTCAATGCTTCCCCCTCATTTTCTTCTATGATCTTCCTACGGACGGTATGTCGCAGCAAGATTATTTATTAATTTCTTTCTCCCTACCCTATCCATACACTTCTACGTAGGAAGAAAAGAAAAGGTTAAGTGTAACTGTCCAGGAGAGTTACAAAATCTATGATATACCTGGAGGGACGCAGTTTATCTGTCTATATCCCCACAGTTTATGACCAGGAAACCATTTGACTAATGCCCTTCTGAAGACCAGCCCGAACACTGCAGGGCACAGGTGGTGGTATTGTAACATGGTGTTTTTGGAAAAGCGGCTTATGACTTGACTCAAGAGTTGATCGATATTGACCTGATATTCAGAACAAGGTCGTCGCCGTCCGCTAACTTTTTGACATAAAGACAAACAAAGACGGAAGAAGAACCGGTAAACTAGAGAAACAACGACTCAAGACACGTTTGAAGAAACAAGCACATAAGGAAGGAAAATGAAGCCCTGCCACGAAAAATTTTCTATATCTAACTAAAACCAAGTCAAAGGGGACTCGTTTATCACATAACTGACAAGACAAGACGTGCGACATGACTGCAGATGAAGCGGAAGCTGGTGGATGCATAGAGAATGTTAAAGGTGCTGGGCATCAGCTGGCTCCTTTTAAACAAAATTTTTCTTTTTTTTTTTAAAAAAAAAAGGAGGGGGGGGGGGGGTTCTTTTCAATGATATTTTACTCCTCAGGTTGTGCTTTCATATCTCCTACCTTCACTCCCTTGCCCTTTGCTTTACCTCCCTCTTTAACCCCTCAACATGAGAGCAATGGAGGCTGAATTGATGGTTGGGGAGAGATAGGAGTTCTGCGCGGAAGGGAAAATCAATATATCAAGGAGACGCTCAGTCAACAATAGGTTCAAGGGTGTTACCACTAAAAATAAAACCGTTAGTAAGTATATCTCAAATAGCAGAGCAGAGAAGCAATAGAAAGAACAAAACCAGGTGGGAAAGAGGGTAAACCTACGCAACAATATTCGCCCACCCAATCAAACGCCAATGCTTATCAATCCGTCGACTCAGCGCAATCTTCTCCCCAATCTCCGTGCACGCAGGGCTCGTCAAGCTCAATTTGGCCGCATCAGCCTTGACACCCATTACTTTTGCACCCGTCGCTGTCGATCCAATGTTCACCATCAGCACCTCATTCTTTGCCAGCTTGGATACCTTCGCCTGCTTGCCATCGGCTGTTTTGACACCCAGCAATCTTCGCAGGAGGAAGTAGTTCACTTCAATCTCCGTGTAGATGGCCGGCAGGCGGCCTCGATGGCCTAGGACGAAACCAAGCAGACGATCGGCACGGCAGAGTGTTGGGTCGACGCGCGTGCCTACGCCGATCAGACCGCCTGGTACAGCGAATTTGAGGTCATTTTGTTCAGCTAGGAGTGAGACGACACGGCTGAAGATGGGTCGGCATTGGATCTTGCCCTGATCATCCTTGGTGACGATACCGGGGCGGATTTCGATCTCGTCGCCTAGCTTCAGCACGCCGGTGAGGATACTACCACCAGCTACACCACCGCGTAGCTCTTCGATTTCCGCGCCGGGCTTGTTGACGTCGAAGGAGCGGATGATGATCATGTGCGGGGCAGCTTGGAAGTCGCGGAGGGGCACTGGGATGTGCGACACTAGATATTCGTTAACGGCGTCGATGTTGTATTTCAGCTGAGCGGAGATGGGGATGATGGGGGATCCGTCTGCGACGGTGCCACGGATAAATTTCAATATTGACTGGTAGTGTTGAAGGGCGCCGTCTTCACGCATCAGATCGACTTTGTTCTGGAGGATAATGATATGGTTGAGTTTCATGATCTCTATGGCTGCCAGATGCTCTGAGGTTTGGGGCTGGGGGCAGGATTCATTGCCTGCAATTAAGAGAAGCGCAGCGTCCATGACAGCTGCTCCTGAAAGCATGGTGCTCATGAGAATGTCGTGACCAGGGCAGTCGACGAAGCTGTATATTTTTATATTTTTTTTCACTGTGTAAGTTTGGTATCGTTCGAGGAATGAATTATTGATTTTTCGCCTCCCTTCCTTCGGTCGGGAATGGGCAGTTGAGAGTAAAACTTACGACACGTGTCTGAGGAGACGATATCTCCCAGTACATCCCTCTCTTTCACAAGGGGGGTCCACTTCCTTCTCACTCTTGTAACTTCGGTAGCAACCAGGCCGGGGACACTCCTCACTGTCACATTTGTAAATCTTGGCATTGGCATAACCCAGCTTGATGGTAATATTTCTCTCCTGCTCGTTCTTGAATCTGACAGTCTGCACTCCAGAGATAGCCTTTACCACCGTCGATTTGCCGTGTGCGACATGTCCAATGGTCCCAATATTGATAGTAGCTTGTCGTGCGATGATTTCAGGTGTCAATGCCGTGAGGATAGACAGGTCTAGAGTTTGTGGATCTGGCTGTTCTGGAAGCTCTGGTTTCTTCTCTTGTGGCATTGGGGGAACCGA